CAGGTCTTTGTGCAGGTGGGTGTTGGTGTTAACTTAGTCCTTGTGATAATATGCTATTCCCATTTTTGTGCTTGATTTTGCCAAGTAATTGAACAAGCTTTTCATACATCAAGTAGTCAGAACTTGAATGTAGAACTAAAAGTTACTCAGAATTACTCTGATGTCCCCTTCATTCATAGAAACTTATGTTCACTTAGCCACTTATTATTCTAAGTAAATGTTTAAATATTGTATATTTCTTATGCTCTGAAGCATTATTTTAATTTTAAAAATCAGGGGTTAACGTAGTTCCTTATCCCAAACACCAAACAAAAAGGTAGAAGGGAAACTTCCATGAGCTCTTCTATGTGCTTGAAACTGGTTTGTGTGTCTCCCACAGGTACTTGGGCGATGTTTCTTGACAGTGATGCAGGTCCACTTCCAGTTCCTGTCGCAAGCTTTGCAGAAAGTCCAGCCAGTGGCACACTCCTGCTTTGCTGAAGCTGTAGCTCAGGAGAGGAAGAACGTTAGTGGGACTGGAGCCTCAAATATAAGCCCCACAAATGAGCTGGAAGATGCAATAAGATCATGGAGAGGAGCAGCAGAGGTATGGAGGTCTTGCTGTAAGCAGATTTAGTGAAACCTGAAGTCTGCCTGGGTGTCCTCAGAAAGGAAGAAAATACCTAATTTTAAAGACATGCAGCATTTGAAGGGGGGAATGTGGCGCAGTTGGTTTCAGACACTAAAACTCATTTTACTCATGTGATGATTACACTATCTTTGCCCTGTGTAAAGTTTTATTTGTTGATCGGGTTGTACATAAGGAGCACACAAGCAGTGCAAACAGAATTTGTTATTATCAAATAGGGCAGAGGGAATTAAAAATAAAAACCTCAACAAGTCTTTGTGAAAACAGAGCAAAATTTTGATGAAAAACAATCTAGATAATGTCTGTTTCTCTCAAATTTTGAGCACATATACTTTAAAATCTTTGTAGTAATTTTTAACACTTCTGTCTTCATGCTGTTAAGCTTGATGTTGTTTGATTCATCCATTGTTGAAATGTGACCCATGTTACTTAAATGTGCCACTCTCTGGACTTGTACTTTTACAAATACATGTCATCTGAGAAATCCTTACATTGCCAGCCAAAACCAGTACTTTATAAAGACATTCAGTTTTGTGAGGTTTGCTGCTTTCCCTGGCACTATTGAAGCCTGGAGACTGATGGGTCAGAATGGATTCAGGCACAGAGTGTGTGTTTTCCCTAAATTCAGATGACTTGGAGCATGTGCTTGTGCAGTCTCATTTGGCCCACATGGCTTGTTAGTCATCCTGACTAGAAATGCTGTCAAGGTTTTTATTTATCACTAACATCTGCAAGGTACAGGGAAGCAAATTAATTACATGGATGCAGAGGGATTATTTGTGATTTTTACTGCAGCATAAATTTATTACACTGGATAAAATAGGGATTTGGGAGTGCTTTAGGTGTATTACAGATAATTTTAACAGGTCCAATCCTGGTATAGCTGTACTTTTTTGGCATAAAAGAAGTTAATTTTATGTGTAATATATACTTAGCTTCTTAAAACTACTATAGTTTCTAGAAATGCCCTGCAATTGCTATCAAATTTGTTTAAACTGTGATTAAAATTAAACTTGGCTTCACAGAATCAAGGACCTTTTTTTTTTACCTTTTGAGCAACCTACTTCACCTATTTCTGTTTTTCAGAAATAAAAAACCTATATTTCAAAATAGTTTTGTACAAGTATTGTACTAATCAAATCCTGTATTAAACATACATGGGGAGGACAGAGATAAAATACAGATTCTCCATAGTTCCAAAATAACAATAGAAGTAACTTCTCAATTTTTGATAGACTGAAATGACTGATTTGGAGTATTTGTGTAGGATATCAGGAAAACATAAGAAAAATATGTGGTTTCTAAATAAATAAAATTTCTCTCATAACTGTAGATAGACTAATGTAAATAATTCTGATAGAAGTGGCATGTGAAATACTGAAATATTTGCCAATTTTTTTCTTTGGAGTGGAAGGCAATCCACTGTTTTCCTATAAAATCAGCCTCTCTGGCAGGAGAACTGTTGCTTCAGAGTGAAGTTTAAGGTGATACTTTGTCAGTAGCTCAAAACTGGCTTTGCTCTTTAAGGTTTACTTTGGGAACTGCAGTAATTCTGTCTGTGAGGTGGGCCTCTGTCCATTGGCTGTAGTCTCCAGTCTGGACATCCTGCTTTAGAGCAAGACACTTTCCTAGACTGGAAAATAACTCACATCTATTTGCTTTACCCTGCTCAATGATGTAGGATTTTATAGCTAAAAGTAGATATTTGGCTTATTTCTTGTTTTTCAAAATCATATTACACAAAGCTATTTTCTTGCTGTGCTAAGTTGGTTTTACTATTGTGTGGCACTTCTCAAATTGCACCACAGTAATCACCCCCAACTTTATGAAGTGTATTATCCTATGAGCACAGGAGTGCTCGTAGACATGATTTAAGATATTTTCTGTTTATGTTGGAGTTATGAGTCCGTCCTCAGGTAACCACAGCCATGGTGTGGGCTGTGTAACAGGATCCCTGGTCCTGACAGGGAGCTGAAATAGTAACAGCAAACAATGCTGAACCCAAGTGCTTGCCAGCACCCGTGTGCTGTACAGCTAACGTCACAGTTCTGCTTCCAAAGCAGCAGTAGCAGTTGAGTAAGTAATAATAAAGTCTCCTCCAGGTCCTTTCCCCCAGGTGCTGCTTCTCATCTCCTGTAGAAGTTTTTAAAGTCAGTGGGCTTTTTTTACTCTTTTTTGAAATTTAATTAAGCCTGACCTAATTTAATGCTGACCCTCCTCACCCTGGATTTTTATTGTACATTACAGGCCACATCTCGACTGCGAGAAAGAGGCTGTGATGGATGTTTGGCAGGAATTGAAGTTCAGCAGCTTTTCTGCTCACAGAGCGTGGCCATCCCTGAACATCAGCTCAAAGAGCTAAACATGAAAATTGACAGTGCTTTGCAGGTGGTTTTTCAAGTCTGCTGCTTTCATGTGCATGTAGTACAGTCAGTGGGTCAAGGAGTGAAATAGGGAAGGAGTGTGTTCCTGCACAATTGCGTGCCATGGGCAGCTCAGAGGTATTTGGGAATTACAGCTTTGGAGTCGTATATGATAAAAGTGTGTATGCCATAGAACTGGGTGGGGTAAATCTTTGTACCAGTCCCTGGCTGTACCCAGACACAGTGACTGTGTGCTTGCTTCCTTGGTGATACACCCGTGCTATCTCAACTTTTTGTTTAATGTCAGGCTTACAAAGTGGCTCTGGAGAGCTTGGGTCATTGTGAATATGCGATGAAGGCTGGCTTCCACTTGAACCCAAAAGCAATTGAAGCAAGTCTTCAGGTAGGATCTGCTAAACCTGCTCTCTTTCATCCCCCTTCACCTTGAAAAGGGTACTTAAAATACACAAACATTTGGACCCATTTTAGGATTTTCTAATGTCTTTATTTCTTCTGTTTGATCTGTTCTTCTGTACTTCAGGGCTGTTGCAGTGAAGCTGAAGCTCAGCAAACAGGAAGGAGACAGACTCCACCTCAGCCCATTCAGTGTGAGCTGCCCACTGTCCCTGTCCAGATCGGATCCCATTTTCTGAAAGGAATCTCCTTCAATGAGTCTGCAGCAGAAAACCTGAAGCTGAAAACGGTAATGACTCCTAATTAACCACAGAAGTAAAGATGGAAGGAGAAAAGTAGAATTCATTAAAATGTAGAGAACAACAGTAACAGAAGTTCCATGCCAAACCTGTGTTCAAAAGTGCTTTTTTTTTCAGCCTGGCTTGCTGTGGTTACACAATGTTGATAATATTGTAGAGCTGTGTCTGTTTGTGATAACATTTTGACAACGTGAGCAGTTTTGGTCAAATACAAGAGGCACAGGCATAACAGGCATAGAGATCTAGGATGCAGTGAATCTGTGAACTTTGTGAGAAGAGATGTGCTAGCTATGAAGAAGTACAGAGAAAAGTGAGCCCTTACAGATTCCCCAGTCAGTGGTGCATATGAGAGCCTTCATCTTCTTAAGTGCACAAATAAGCCAGCCCAGCCTGGTACTAAGAGGAGTACTTGAAAAAATACTTTTTAACAAAGTTCCTTTTGATGTCATCTTACAAACTGGAACCAATTTTTAAAAAAGAATGTTAAATTATGGAGAAGTTAATTGTATTTTCAGTATAAACAAATGGAAAATATGTCCATTCAGAAGTAATTTGGGCAATTTTAATCAGCACTTTGACTTTTTTTTAGATAAACCCAGTTCCTTGCTCCTGAAAGAGTTGAAATAATAAGTTGTTCAAAATGCTGCTTTTCTGTTGTCTTTGCAATGCTTTTTGTAGTTTTGATTAAACTGGTTTGCAAGAGTATAAGCAGAAATATTGTTTATGATTTTGGAGCAGTATTGTGTTCCAAACAGCAGAGACAATATTCCATATTTCTGTTCTGCAGTGGAACTCTACTAATTATATAAGACTGGTGAGAGGTTGCAGACATAGCTGTTTGAAAAGCACATAGAACAATGACAAATCCATCTGGAAGCATTGGTGGTGCCATTTGTGAATCATGTGTTGTGTAGGACAGAGTGTTTATTCTTTTTCCAGCACACAATGCTGCAGTTGATCAAGGAAGCTGGATGCCATAATGGACTCACACCCCGGGACGACTCTCCCGTGACTGAAGTGCTGAACCAGGTCTGCCCTTCCACGTGGAGAGGAGCTTGCAAAACTGCTGTGCAGCTGTTGTTTGGCCAGGCTGGACTGGTAGGTGACTACCAATAGTCTCAGGAAAACAAAGTTTATGTAAACATCCTGAAGAGAAGCTAGCTATTTTGGAGTTTAGAAATTAATTTGCAGTGTCTTATTCTGTGTTGCTTTATTTTGAGTGCTGCAGTTAACTTGATTTCTGAGCAAAGTGTGTCCTTGTACAGTGGGGGGGTCTGTAGGTGGTGTTCGTAGTTGACAGGAACAGAAGAATGCACCAGGTGCTTCCTGGTCTCTGTTTCAAGAGAGGACACAAGAAATGAAACTTCTACTTCATAGAGAAATAGAAATATTTTCAAATCCATAGATGACCATGTTAAAAAGAACTAAACAGACCTAAACACACATCTACCCCCTCTCAAGTTAGCTTCAAAACCTGCCATTTTTTCATTTTGTCCCTGCTTTGACTGGAAGCTGAGTTTACTGCCCAGCATAAACCAGCAAGTCTCTGCACCAGGCAATGCTACCTGACATCTCCAACAGAGGACAGAAGAATTAAATGCCTTGCTTTGACATATATGTTCTTGAGGGGAAGAAAAGCAGTGGAATTTACAGTATCTAAGCAGCTGGTACAAATAGATGCTTGGAGCTTACTCTGATAAGAAAATGTGTTTGTGCTCCCATTACTAATTACTGCAATTGCTGCACTTTGTGAAGTGTTTGTGCATGACATGTAGGTTTTTTGGACTCCTGTGGGTAGGGGAAAAGGCTGCACCTTCAACATAGGAAGGAAATGCAAGGATAAAGGTACACTGTAGCTCATGATAGTTTTGTCAAGTATTCTTTGAATTGTCTTTAACCTGCAGTGAGTTAATTGCTTCTTGCTTGTTCATTGTTGATTCCTTGTTCAAGGTGATGGGGGGACCATGAGGGCTTTGTAATTAATTTGTGATTAAAGGACCCAAATAGCTGCATATTTTTAGCTCTGTTTTTCAGACAAGTCACACAACTGGTTAGGTGACCTAGACCTTCCATCCTAGCAAATTAAACCATGTGCTTTTGATACTGTTAAAAGGTTATCCAGTAATGTTGAATGATAAATCAGAAATTATGAATTTGCCAGATATTTCTACTTTAGGATCCCTTTGATACTAGATACCAGATCTTAGATAGTCCCTTAATATTAAATACCTGTTAGAGAAGTAGGTTGAAATTACACTGGAATTCAACTGACTATTCATATAATGGCAGCCTAAAATCAAAGGTGCAGACCATCACTGTCAGCAGCAGTGCTCCTGCTGTCAATCCTTACTTCCTGAGATACAGGGGTTGAAGGGCAGGAGATGGTAGTCTTTGTCTGAGAAGTTTTACAGGGAGGTGTGAGAAGGTGGTGTTTTTGCAGGGACTGAGAAACTGTGGAATAGTAGGATTTATCTAATTTCTACTTAGGTGTTTTGAAAGAAAACATGTATCAAATACTAGTAAATGCAGGGAGGACTGGAAAAAGGATAGGGTTAAATGGGATTGTGTCTTCAGGTGCCACAGTTGGTGGTAGGATGCTGGGAGTCAGCAGCGAGGGACAGGAAATGGGGCCAAGGAGGAAGGAGATGCTCAGCAGCCCTGTGAGTGTGCTGTAATCCAGGAGCAGCTGTGGCTCCTGAGAGTCTGGATGGGGAGTGCCTGGGAGGATGCTGCACCTTCCACCATTTCCTTTCCAGGGGGTTTCAGTGCTGTGCACACCCAAGGCCTGCCCGAGGGGGTTTGAGGAGTGGCACAAGGCACATTTGGACTCAGGAACCTGGAAATGTGCTCTCCCTCAGTCTAGACATAACGAGTTAGACCTGCTGCTAATTGAAGCACTGACATTCTTCAGGTTTGTCATCACTTTTGGAGAGTGGCACCATAAAACTTGCTTACATATTCTCCCAAATGACAGTGCTATGGAGTTTCACTTGTGTTGAGTCCTGAATGTCCCCAAAGATTTTTGCATGAACCTCAGGTTGTCAAAGTAGCAGGCTTCACTCTTCAAAGACACGTAATGAGCTGTGCACACGACAGAAGACCTGCAAGCCTGCTCTCCTTCATTCTCACTTTGATTTGTTACAGTTTAGAAGGGGATGAGGGTTGAGGTTTTTCTTTATAAACTGTGTGCCATCTTTTTTTTACAACATCCTTGTATGTGGCTTCATGCAGTGACAAGAAATTGTAATTTGGGTCTTTAAAGAGTTCTTTGGGTGGAAGGGAGAGAGGAAGCACCTGTGAAACAAGAACAATGGATGTCTGAGGTACAGGAAGCTGTTCTCTAAGCACCACCAGGCGGGGAGGGAGGATGTGTTTATTTTCGGTTTATTTTGTGAAGAAGGCAGATAAATGAATCATGGCACAGTATTACGTAGGCTTTGGTGTACTGCTTTTAGATAGTGGGCTGTCTGCATTCATTCATAATTGTGTATGGATCTGTATCTTAAATGCCCAATTGGAAAAAACATTACTTGACAGTCTCACTGGTTTTAACCTATCTTGTGTCCTTGTGCCTTTTAAGAAACAAGGCACATTAGGTGTGGAAAGCACAGTGAGTTGTGATTTAGTTTCCTTGGTTATTTTGGGCTGTAGATTTTTAACATCAATAATCTGAAGTGCTGATTTTCAGTTCTTACCTTAGCATGTGTATAATAAGAATTGCATTTTGAGATTTGGGTCAACTGATGAAATCTGCATGTTTGAATAAAAATGATGTACATTCAAATGGCTGAATTCAGTGAATGAGTGGAAATAAAACTTCCAATTGGCCTCATGCAAAGAGGTTAACAGATAAAACTCTTTTTTTCATGCTAGTAGATCTTCCCATAGCAAACACCAACATGCATTGCAGGAGCACCTACATCCCCTAGTAAAGTTTAAATCCCAGATGTCCTGACTCTGACAGATGCTGAGAAATGTAAAGCTTTTTCCAAAGAGAAGAAATGAAGATTTGTCCTGGGGGAGGAGCACCCCAAAGCCTGGACCATGGGCACCAACCATGCACCACAAACAGAACTAGACACAGGCCTGCACAAATCAGAGTTTTTAACCTCTGACTTCAGGTCTGAGGTGCAGACTGTATTTTTCTTGGGGGTTGAAAACAATCACTTCTGAGTTAGTTCTCCTTCTCACAGTTATAAGGAGTTATCTGTTAACAGCTATTAACTGTTATCACAGTTATAAATTACCCCTGCAATAGGGCTGAATTGCAGATTACCAAATTAAATAAAATGAAAATATACAAACACCAAGAAAGGACTGCTGGAATTGTCCTGTTACAAAATGAGAGGTATTTTCAGGGTGGGTGATAGTGTGGCCTTTTGTCACCATGCTTAGATGTGTTTAAAATTTAATAATCCTGGGCAAATGCTTAGAGTTGACTGAAGGAAAAAGAAGGCCTTATGCTAAAATATTTTAAAGGTGGGAAATAATTATGTTTAAGTGTTATTTGATGGTTTTGTTAAATTGAGAGAGAAGAAACTCAGCATTTATGTTTCACATTTTTTCATACCCAGTAACAGATAACCAGTTAGAAGCAGGACCAGTGGTAGGTTAGGTGATGGCAACAAAGTCAATAATGTCTCTTGAGGCTTATTTATACCTGAGGACTTTTGTCATTTCAAGGATAAATGACACAGCCAATCTGTTAGTCACTGAAGCAAGGACTGCTGACTGCTGCCAAAAAGCTGCTGTTTCAGCATGACCAAAATAGGAAATTATGGAAATTATCAAAAAGGCCGACCCACGCAGACTGGATAACAACAGAAAGCCTGAACCAAATATGGAAATTACTATCAGTAAATTAAAGGCTAAATTAAGCTGAAGTGAATCCATTCCTTTTCTGAAAAGTTGTCTGAAAAGAAAGGTTCATGACACAGGGTTGGTTTTCAATACTTTCCTCTTCCATATGTCTTCATGACATCTTACAGGTGGCTCAGAGTCCAACAAACTGAACAGTGCCTTCTCTTTATTTAATTAGGAATTAATATTTGTACAGTTTCATTAGGTAGAATAGAGAAATGCTGGTGTGGATTTTTATAACCTTGAAAGGGGGGATTTATGTTAGGAATTTTGAAGGGTTTCTGGCTGGATATTACTTGTCTATATTATACCACGCACTACAGTGAAATTATTTAAAACATTTTTCTGAGTAGGTGTTTGGGAGCTCTTAAAGACTGTGCTGAACTTGTCAAAAATGAGGCCTGTTGTGTGGAGCCACTGAGAACCACCAACAGGAAGGCAGAGCAGCTGGTAATGGCATAGTGATGCATTACTACAGGATGTAACTGAGAAGAACTAAGTCCTTGAAATACAGGTTTCTGTACTAAACTAATTTTATATTAAAATAAATTTGCAATGATTTAGTGAGTTGGTTTGGTTTTATTTTGGGTTTTTTATATCTGTAGCATGACTGGGAGGGGAGATTATTGGAGTTTAATTACAGGGGTGATAAAATAACTAATCCTTAAAATTTTTTTCTCTTTTATTTTATTTCCTAGGTGGTTGTGGACACTGCACAGATTGAAAATAAAGAAGCCTATGCTCCTCAGATAAGTTTAGAAGGATCAAGAATTGTGGTGCAAGTTCCATCAACATGGTAAATAAAAATACTGTATTGTAGATTGTGACTGAAGTGTGTGGGGAAAACTGTTGCAGTACAAATGGAAGAGAGAACGTGCACAATTATGTGCATCTCTGTCTGTACTGGTTGAACACCTCCATTCCTCTGTAGGACGTAAGGCAAGAGAGGCAGTGCTGGGGCACTGAGACTTGCAGAAAATGTAAAAGCTTGATGATAAAAGATAAGGTTTCAGAAATAATAACCTACCAGTACTCCTGTTGTGCTCCGCCCTGGCAGGTCCCAGCTGTAGCTCAGAAAGGCCAAGAATCAGCTGAGTTAATGTGAGAGCCTTTGCTCTTTCTTCACTGGGCTGTTCTTTAGGTGCTGTCACGAACTGGGGACCTCTGGGCTCTGAGAGATGCTGTTTCTACCAGATTAGGTGACTGCCTGGTAGAGAATGGTTGATCTGCAGTTTGTGAGGAATTTTTCCTGTTCAAAGAGGGGGAACAGGGAGCAATGGCAGCACTTGTTTCTAACTCGGAAGGAGTCAGTGTTAGGAATTTCAGTACAACACATTTCATTCACTTGACTCCTTATAGAGGCAGCCTGTTCCTAGTGGTGCTGGCGGGATGCCCAGAGGGAGGAGAGTCCCGGTGCTGTGTCCTGGGAGAGGAGAGAAAGGAAAAAAGGAATGCATGTATGCATGCATGTATGATGTGTGTCCTGGTGCTGCTGCCCGGGGGAAGGAAGGAAGGAGTGTCCCGCGGGGAGGGGAAGAAGGAACGAGAGTGTGTGTGAGAGTGTGTGTGTCAATGTCTGTGTGTCTGTGTGTGTCTGTGTGTGTCTGTGTGTGTCTGTGTGTCACTGTGTGTCACTGTGTGTCACTGTGTGTGTCTGTGTGTCACTGTGTGTGTCTGTGTGTCACTGTGTGTGTCTGTGTGTCACTGTGTGTCAGTGTGTCAGTCCGTGCGTCCCGCTGCTCGGGATGTGCCCCCTGCCCGCGGCTCGCTGCCGGGGCAGCGCCGCCTGCTGGCGCAGCCCGTCCCGAGCCCCGCGCTCCCGGCTCGGCACAGCCGCCGCTGCTGGACGTGCGGAACTCTGCCAGGACCCTGCCGGGCTCAGGCTCGGCATGTGCTGGGTTGTGTCAGGCTCTTGCCCTGTTCCAGAAATGGCTGTTGTGTTTCTGTGTCCGTCGCTGCTGTGCCTGAACTGTGCCTGCTGAAGAGCTCTTGTCAGTGACCGTCTCAGTACGGTGCACTGCTGAACCTTGAAGTTAGGTTAGCTCTGTGTTCCACAGCAGGCAGAGCTCAGGCTGCAGCCCAGGAACCCCTAGGCATTCCCATGTCGTTCTGCAGGAGTGCAGCTATTGGCCTTCTGTGTTCTGATTGATATGGTAGAATTGTTTAATGTAAAAAAATGAGTATTTTGATTCCTAATTGAAACATAATGATGACAGGTGTCTGAAAGAAGATCCAGCAACAATGTCTTTGCTACAGAGGAGTCTGGATCCGGAGAAGACTTTGGGGCTGGTAGATGTGCTGTATACTGCTGTGTTTGATACACACAGGTGGAAGGAAGGAAGGTATATCTCTTTTCTAGTTCAAACTAAGCTGTTGTTGAATAATCTGTGCTGAGGGATTTGATAGTGCCAGCTCATCAGAAGGGGAAAACAGGAGTCAAACTGAGAGTGAGACACTGTTAATCCCCACAGATACCTTTTGGGTACATCCAGAGATACAGGAGACTGTTTACAACCAAACCAGCAGCATGTCCAAGGGTTAAAAAGTATTTGCTTCTCTCTTACAAAAATACTTTATTTATATTAAATTGGTCTCCATTTGGTCTTGAAGCACAACTAAAATTCAAAGAGTTGAAAGTGTTGCAAATATGAGGAATAATTTGCTTTGTTACCATAAGAAGTAGCTGGTACACTTGGCAGTCTTTGCTGTTGTTTCTTTCTTGAGCTGCTATCGAAATACACGTTTTTCCCCAAAGTACAAACTCAGTTATGTATTAGGTGGTTTGATATACATGTTTTTTTATTGATGCAGAGAGCAAGCTTTGCCTTGTATTCAGATCCAGTTACAGCGTGAAATCTCAGAATTTGGGAGCCAAGTTGACATGCCATCGGGGAATGGGAGCAAATCTTCAGGGGGTCTGCAAAAGACATTCTCAAAATTGACTTCACGGTTTACAAAAAAAACTTCCTGCACTAGTACAAGTAACACAGGAAGTTACTCAATCCCCAGTACACCTTCCAAAAACGTCTTCATAAGTTCCAGCTCAGAGGAGAAAGCTAAAATGCCCACTAACATGGACGCACGGTTGCAGAACCTCCTGAACATTGGGAACTTCCCTCGGAGCGCAGAGGCCCTGCAGCCGGTGCAGAGCACAAATAACCAGCTCGTCAATGGGTTTCTAGTGGAAAGACGGGACAGCTTCTTCAAACCAGATGATGGCAAGGATGACAAAGGTATGAATTTACCAACTGACCAAGAAATGCAAGATGTTATAGATTTCTTGTCTGGTTTTAACATGGGCAAATCCCAGCAGACTTCTCCGATGGTGAAAAGAAGGAACTCTGTTGCATCCTCTACAGCAACAGAACAAAAGTCAGGAGCAGTTCAACAGCAGCCGCAGTCTGTGTCTCACACCCCACTGCATCCTCCTCAGCAAGGCTTGTCCCAGCAGCAGTCCCAAAAGCAGCAAATGCAGTATTACCAACACTTGCTTCAACCTATTGGACCACAGCAACGTGTACCTGCCAAATGGCTCAGTAATTCCTCACAGCAGCAAGCTCCGGCTGTTGGAGCTGGATTGTCTCATATAAATCAGTGGAACAATCCTGGTTTTTCAGATTTAAGCTCTGATTTGTACAGCTTGGGTCTTGTGAGCAGCTATATGGACAATATGATGGCAGAGATGTTAGGACAGAAACCACAAGGACCTAGAAACAACACATGGCCAAATCGTGACCAAACTGATGGAGTGTTTGGGATGTTGGGAGAAATCCTGCCTTTTGACCCTGCAGGTGTGTGTCTTTTCCTTTATTATGCTTTTTTAAAGGGTCCTTTGTAAAAGAATACTGTGAGATATTACTGGCAATAATGTCATTTCACGTGCTGCCCAAGGGATGTAAGGGTGCTGACCAGGGCAAGCAGGAAATTTCTGTATGTGCTTATTTGCTTTTTTAACAGAAGGTGATCTTAAAACTCTCATTCATAAGCGAGAATGGGAACCAATTCCTTGTTTCTTTTTCCAGTTGTAGTAGTCTGACCTTTCCTATATGGAGCACAGCAGAGTACTGAAAAGATACTTACAGATTATGTTCCTGTACATAGTTTGTAAAACTGTTTAAAATCAAACTCAGGCACGTTCCCTCTCCACAGAATTATTCTTCCTGCTCTTAGCAGTAACCTGGAGATACAGCCGGGTTGCATCTTTCCCATATCCCCCATTCTCCCTCCATTGCTCCCCAGTTCCCTGGGAGTCATACTGGTTCCTGTTCCACAGCTGTTTCTGCAATCAAAAATTTGGATGTCAAAGGATTAGAGACTTAAGAGCAAGTGTCATGAGGTTTGCCACGTGTTTGGACCACCAATGAATTGTAAATATAGATGAATTGAGATAAAATTCTAGAGTCATAAACAAATAGCTACAAACCAAGAAATTGACCATGGAGTCTAAGAGATGAATCCCCATGTGGGTCATTGGCTTGAGAGCTGGACTTGGTGATCCTTGTGGGTCTCTTCCAACTCAGAATATTCTGTGATTGTGTGATTCTGATGGTAGTATTTAAGAACAACTTACACAGCTGCTACCTTGTAAATGTAACTTCTGTTGGCCTGGAACACAGCTGCGGGAGTGTTGTAGTGTGCATTTATGGCAACTGCCTGGAGGGAGGAGCAGAGAACAGGGAAACCTTTTATCAAAGCAGGGCTCAGTTTCCCGCGCTCATTTGCACTTGTCTGTGTTTGCAATGTGTAGGCGTCTCAAACCAGCTCCTTTGACTCATAATTATGATAGTTATTTTGTCAACTTAGTTGATTAATTAGTGTAGTTTCTATGGCAAAAATAGCCACCGTATTCTTGCTTAATAACTGTAAGTCTGAATTAGCATCATCTTGCTTAAACATACTTAGGGTATAGACTTAAGGATTATCACAGCCTCTAAGGAAGGACAAAATTATTCTCAGCAAGCACTAAGTCTGTGTGTGTGTAGGGAAAAGAAAGCTGGTATGCAAATGACTGATATTCTCTGCATTTTGAATCCATTATATTTCTATAGTGTTTTCCTTTTGCTCTACATAAAACAAATAGTTTTATTCCATTTGATGAATGCCAAGGATGTAGAAAGTGGTACTTGGAAAATGTGACTTACTCATGTTCCATAAATGATGCTCAGTGGATTACGATACCCGCTTCTACAGTTGTAGTAATAAGTAGACAGTATTTTTCACAGATCTGGTTTTTAAAAAACCAAAACCAAGCAAAACTCCTTCCAACTGAATGCTTTTCCACTAGAAAGAATTTTTCTTCATAGAACTTGCCAGGTTGAGGTATGGTGTAGAAATTTTCATTTTAAGCTTTAGTGTCATACAAAAATTTGTAAAACAGAAAACTGTTTTTCATTTCCAGGGTTTCCTAGGACTGTACATTTGTCATTTGAAACAAACCACATTACTTTTTTGATAAATAGTTTTAGAGTCTGAAAATGATGTCTCTTTTCAGATGAAAAACTGCTGATTAAGAATTTATAAAATTGAAATTTATGGTTTTTCATGTTGAAGGCCTAACTAGTCCCAACAATGTATTTTGTAGTACTTTAGTCATCACTAAGAACCTGATGAAGGAATGTTGCAATAAGAACTAACAGAAGGAATTTGGTAACACCAGTCTTTTGGAGTAAAAGACTATCTGATGAAAAACTGTTCACCTGATGTTTTCAGTGAAGTAAAAATTAACACAAGCTTCTATTTTGAATATACCAGCACTTTAGAACTTAATGCTGTTTGTCCATAGGTAAAAAAAGCCTGGATGTCCTTCAGAATCCATCTAGACTCTAATCTTAGATCTGAGGGACTGCCTGGCTTCCAGCCTCATCTTAAATAGACATAAAGATATTTCAGAGGAAGAACAAGCTCTGGTGGGGATGTTTTATTCCTAGACAGCTCTCAGATAGCCCTTGCTTAATAAAGGAGGCAGAGAAAGTACGTTTTCTTCACTGCCTGTTAAATTTGCATTCAGCAAAACATTGTGGAGGTCTTTTCTGGATGTGTCAAATGAGAACAAGGAAATGTATCTTCCAAATGCAGGGAATGTAGGGAGCTGTCAGATGAAAGTGATTTCTGCTTTGGAGCTGTGCATGATTGTTGGATGTTCTTCAGTCTCCACTCAATCTCCAACTGAGACTGGCAAACCAGCAGCTCAGTACTTCCCCACTGCAATTACTGTGCATATAGTCTAGACATTTTCCATAAATCCAGTCAGATTGCCAAGTTTTTTTCTCAGGGAGGAAACAAAAGCAAAGGAAAGAGAAGCTGTGGAACTCAGTTAGTGACTCATTATCAGCAGTCTTTTGAATACAGCAATTGCTTGCTCTAATCAATGGAGCATTTGAAACACTTTTGGATTAAGGCTTTTGCTGTGTCTGCTCAAGACCATGCTTATTTCTTATTGGATGCCTGGGACACAAAAAGCATGTTGAGAATGGAAGAATTTTTAAATAACTGCTTTTTTCTGTAAATATAATTCTTATTCTGAAATATTTTGTAGTCAGAATCAGAATATTTTCAAAATTGTCTCATCCTTATAGGAAGGAGGCAGTTTTGGCGCTCCGTGTTCTAGTATGATCCAAGCAGGATCACAACATAGCTGGAAATCATGCTGTACTCTGGTACCAACCACAGTAACTGTTCTACTCTTTTTCACATGTGTGGATAAATGTACAGTGTCCATTCCATCAGTGTCTGCTGATACTGATGGAATGGACTGATACCTTTCAGCACAGACATGATCATAGCACAAACACAATTTCCCTGATGGAATGCAAGGGGCAGGTGTACTTCCATGTGATAATTATTATGCACCATGGATGCTGCGTATCCCATCTTTGTAAAACACTTCCTCTTCAGTGTTCTTCACTGCTCCATGAAGACCTATCCACTGCAGGCTGCCATTTATCATCAGGGCGGAATGACTTTGTTGTGGGGTATGGTCAAAGCTAAAGCACGGCAAGTGCAGCAGAAATAGCCGGGTGTCAGCAATGGACTTGTTACTTTCTTCCGCTCAGTTGGCTCCGACCCCGAGTTTGCCCGCTATGTTGCTGGGGTGAACCAGGCTATGCAACAGAAGAGGCAAGCACAGCACGTCCGTCGTCCCAGCACCGCGCGTGGCAACTGGCCTCTTCCCGATGATCCTCATAAAACCTGGCCCTTTCCCGAGTATTTCACAGAGGGGTAAGAGACTGGACAGGCTGCATGGTTTATTGTGTAACTTTATTTTGCTCCCACACCTGGCACAAGGTGGGAATACTGGTTGTTTTTTCAGTTGCTGATGCATCTGTGAAAGCTGCAGTTCACTGTTAAGAGTGAGCATTGTGACCCTGCCTGCTTTGCTGACCCCAAGGCACTGACATGCTTGATGTCATCCTTAGAGTGGCATGGATACTGACTGTGTCTCCAGCAGAGGAAATAAGGAATCTATAGCCCAGATGTGTTCAGGAGAGTTTTCTTTGAGTAATTTGAAAACAGCTTTAAGACCTAGTTTTGATGAAAAGTGATGCTGTCAAAGCCTGATTGAATTCAGTTTTCTAGATTTTAGCCACTTAATCCTGCTTCTAAAAGGCAGCGACCTCAAAGCAGGCACATTTGTAGTTTTTAATATCTTCCATATTACTTAACTATTTACTACACAAGAAGCATTTCAAGATTCTCTGTCCATTTGTCCATAATGTAAGAGCTGTGAGTCTCTAGTGTAGAAGAGTAGGATGGATATGTGTTCTAGCTCAGTTTTGCAGTGAAAGTCAAGTACTTAGTGATTCCAAAACCAAGCATCACTTGTTTCTCCTTCCTGACCAGGAGAGGTAGTTCTAATTTATATAATTATTGTAGTTAAAGATATATAAAGAGGCTGTAACAGACAGAGCAGTTAATGTGACCAGTCAGAACTAGCAAAAGTATTACTGACACATTTTACCAAGTACTGAAATGTTCTGCTCTGAGGTATCACCTGTGACAAAGATTCAGCACAACTGTGGCACACAGTCTGGGCCAGGCACTGTAAATACGAGGACCAATACAACTTTCTGTCTTGCAGTGATGTGACAAACAGCTGGTCTGGTACTCAAGGAGACTCTGCCAGCTCAAGTGATGAGACCTCCTCAGCTAACGGAGACAGTTTGTTCTCCATGTTCTCAGGGCCAGACCTTGTTGCTGCTGTAAAGCAGAGGAGGTGAGCAAAATTAATAGAAACAGACCACTTTGTAAGATTCTTTTTGTTTATATGTAATTTCATTTGAGTAGCCAGACCAAGGAAATTCTTGCCAATGAGACAAGTCTCCACAACCATGAGTTTGTGAAGAAGGTACTAGTTTTGTGGATACTACACTGGTGATGTGGACCGGGGGATTCCGGGGAAGTCAGCTGTATTAGCAGCTTTCTCCTTGTACAAACCAGCACTGTGCAAACAGCCAGCTGTTCACTGAAGGTCTAGGAAAGATCTGATGCTTTCCCTCTTCCATGAGAGTCTCCTTTGGATGCCACTTCCTGGGGCTTCATGAGATCCTCAGTGGTTTTGTGGAGTGCCTGGCTGCAGCTGGGCCTGACATGGTGGGTTTGGGTGCCTTTGGGTGTCTTCCCTGGCCTCAGCTGCAGCCCGTGGCACTGGGGAGAAGCTGCCACTGCCCTGGTGTGGACTTCTCACCTTGGCTGCTGCAGCCGTTCTGGGAGTGGGAAAGACATGCCTGCTTAATCCTCTGTTTCTCACAGCAGGAAGAGAAGGCCAAACTGCCTTTGTGAATAATTTCAGTAATGGAAAAACTAAGCCAGGATTTCCAGCTATCAGTAGTGTGAATTACAGCAATTCTGCTTTTCTAAAGGGCTGGAGGCTCGGTGTCTTTGGAACCTCAGTGATTGCACAGCAGAGGGTAGTTAGAACAATAGTAACAAAAGGCCCAAGATGAAGCACGAATACCAACCCAATTCCAGTCGGGAATTGTTCTCTCAAACTATTTTTCAGTCTTTTCTAAAAATTAAATAAGTGGCCAAATATATGTTCGGAGTCACAGAATAATTTGGAGTCAGTATATAGATACAAGATTGTCTGCTTTTTGGTGAATTAAAAAAAAATGGCAGTTTCTCACAGTTTCTACCTGGAGAGCTATTTTTGTATGTATTATCAGAGTGGAATAAGAGTAGCTACTTTCTGAATCTTTACACTTAGCCAAGACTTCATAGGGAGGGAACAAAAATTGAGCTTCAATGAATGTTAAATTGAAATTAATGGGAAAGAGCCATCTCATAAACAGTCAAAGAAAAAGGAGTATTTTTTAAAAAAAAGCAGCAGGGAAGGAAAACAGACACATAAGGCTGACTTAACACGCCAAGCCAGCAGATAGCTGGAGACTGATGATGGTGCAAGAAAAGCCTGTGGTTTATGTAAGTGCTCTAAAGAGCAGAAGAAAGTTTCCAAAGAGGTGCTTCATTGACCAAAACCTCAGCTGAAGTAACAGTACTACTGTCTCCTGTTACCTGCAGGAAGAACAGCGTTCTGTTGGCGAGGGCCTGACAACACACCAGAGCTAAAGCTGGGCAGTAAGAGGAGGTAGAAGGGTGACCCGCGAAGGGCTGCTTACCTATGGGAGCCTCACTGGAGCATGATGATTGGGTTTTTTCCAAAAAGGATGAAATAAAAGATTCTGCTTTAATGCAAACCCATGCCCTTAATCACTCCTCCTAAAAAAACCAACCAACCAAAACAAAAAACTAGGAAGAAAAACCCCAAAACAAAAACAAACCCAAGGAAAAAAACCTTCCAGAATGCACATGTGGTCAAAGATTTCTATTTGATAACTAGGTGTTAGATCACAAATTTAAGCTGAAGGTAGAACATTTTTCTTCATTAAAAATTACTGTGCTTCAGCAGATGTTTCACTTCCTCAACTGGTATTTTATCTTACATAGAAGGTTATTTCAGAAAAGATACTTTAAAAATCCAAAAGAAGCCTAGCCACAAGAGTAGGTAACAGAAGAAAAACCACAATTTCTGGCAAATTTCTTGAATGTGAGCAAAAGTCTATCCCAGCTTCCTTTCACCTCTACAAAAATGTTGAAGCTGTAGCTCCAAGAACCACTGTGTTGTCATGTCCCTGACAGTTTCTGTATTGTTGCTTTTACCTGTGCTGTATAAAAAGTACATTAAGCTGGATGTTTGTGAAAACAGTACTGTAGGCTGCCTGATCTGTGCCAGTGGCAGATTGAGGGTGACTCATTTAAAACCAAAAAGTAAATGTCTCTCTCCTTCTGGGCAGAAAACACAGCAGTGGTGAACAGGAACCCAGCACGCTGCCATCGCCCCCGCTCCTCTCTGCAGCAGATGACCGCAGTCAGGTGAGCTCAGCGTGGCGTTGCTTGGTCCCTTCTGCTGGCATTTGGGGTGGGGCTAAGTGAGGCAGTCAGCTGGAAAAGCATCTGTATCTCCAGATTGTTTACTTCAGTGAAAAGCTAAACCATCTGCACTCAAGTAGCATGAGATGCTTTTGTCAGTCACCAAGCTTACTGTACTAAAAGTGGAAATAATTTGCTTTTTCCCTTTCAGTGAGGCCACTGTGCATCAAGCTGAAGCAAATGTTTTTTAACAGGTTTAAGAATTGAGAGTGTTACCAGTATGCATCAGTTTGGCTTTCAAATAATAAACTAATCTTGTGAAAATATCTCAAGGAGGTGATAAGGTGTGTTAAGTATTGTCTCCAAAAAGCAGCATTCTGTTATTAAATCGAAGCACCCCCAACTCATTTTGTGTTTTCAGGATAACAAGACCAAAACCTGGCCTCCCAAGGCCCCGTGGCAGCACACATCCTCGGTGCCGAGCACGCTGCCCAGCCAGAGCGCGGCCCTGTACCCCATGAGCAGCTCCGTGAGCCAGTGGAGCGACACCATGCAGATGCTCCAGTCGCCCATGTGGGCCAGCGACTGCGCCCCGGCAGCCGGCCTCCCCTCCAGCTTCGCCTACGCGCAGCAGCAGCAGCAATCCCAACAGGCTTCCCAGCACAAACAGATGAACAAGGGCTTTAAATCGTTCCCAGTAAAGCACGAACGCAGACCATCTTACCTGCACCAGTACTAACTGCTCTTTGTACTGGAAAATGCAGCACAGGGCCAAATGAAAATTACGTTACTTTGATTCACAGTGCTGTGTTGGCTATATCCTGTTTCTCTCTTGGTGTGGGATTGAGGGGGTTTGGGTGACATAGACAAACTCTCGGATTCTGAGTTACAGTGCTGAGCAAAAATGGCCAATATGTTTGGTGTACATGAAACAGCCCAAAACTGTGATGTAGAAATGCTTTTAAAATGTGTAGTTGCCTTTACTTTCAAGACATTTTTTTTTTTTCTAAAAAGAACTGCTGAAGGACTACCATACAAGAAACACTGTATTTTATAGCTATCTTTCATATAGATTTATAGTTAAAACATCTTACTGAAACACATTGAATATGTTGAAGCAAATATATAGTGGTCACTTTGCTCAACACTGTGTTTAAATTTATAAAGGACAAGCTGTAGAACCTTCGTATTCTCCATTACAGCCTGTGGGCAGCTTTTTTAAAATGAAGTGCAACAGCAGCTTTTCCTGTGCTACACAAGTGAGTTCATCTGGGAACTGCTGCAGAAACAGCTGCAAAACTGAGTTTTGTGGCAGTTTCCTTACTGTAGGATCAGCAGAACCACTCAGCCTTGTGTCTTCAACATTACCTGAGCTGCTTGACATAGATGGCACCTGTGTGGGCAGCGGGACCCTGGTTCTCACACACCTGTGTGGGCAGCGGGACCCTGGTTCTCACACACCTGTGTGGGCAGCGGGACCCTGGTTCTCACACACCTGTGTGGGCAGCGGGGCCCTGGTTCTCACACACCTGTGTGGGCAGCGGGGCCCTGGTTCTCACACACCTGTGTGGGCAGCGGGACCCTGGTTCTCACACACCTGTGTGGGCAGCGGGACCCTGGTTCTCACACACCTGTGTCCTGTGGCTGCATTTGGCCAAAGGCATTATCCACACGGTGCTCCCACAGTTTGTGAAAGCAAAGGCTAAGAGACTACTTGCATTTATTTAAAGTCTTATTTCAGATGCTACAGTTGATTAAAAATTGTGAGCTGGCTCAGAAGATACTAAAACTGAAATGTGGGGTAGCAGTTAGTTAAAAGAACATTATTTTTTTTTTAAGGATAAAGTAATTATTTGCAGTCAGTATGTGCCAATAAGTGAACCTGTGGAATTAGGAATAATCTTCCAACCAAAGTGGATCGGGGCGAGTGACTGGTGCTTATAAATTCAAGAACAGTGGTAAATATATGTATACCTATCCCACTGTATATGAATTGAGATTACAGAAGATTCTTTATATAGTTAGAGCTTATTTAAATTTTCATATTTCATCTTTGAAAGAGTCTAAAAACCACAGTATTTTCTGGTATAAGAGTTTTGACAGTATTAATCTTATTTTTGTATTTTTCTTAAGTCATATCATTCTAATACGTTAACTACTAGTAAAATGGGTTATTAGTTCTAACTACATAATTTTTCAATGAAGATAAAGCACATTTTTTGGTTTTGGTTTTACAAACTAAGTACATCTATATCTGAAGATACCAAAAAAATAAATACTATATATATATATATATATATAAATAAAAAGTATACACAACACTAAAACTATTAAACATTTGGGTATTTAAAACCCATCCACCTTTTTTGTTTGTAGGGTGACGGGCTCTATTTGCAGGCCCAAATTGTTACCTTTTGTGCTGTTTGAGGATGCCAATGTTGCCTGTATTTATGATATTGTCACCATGTTTTCTGAAACTTCATACTTACCATGTTTACAAAGATTTGTTTGCTGTACATAGACTTTTTACAGTAATGTGCTTTGCACAATCAGTGTGGCTTCTGTCTGTAAATTGTTAATGGTCTGTACTACTATAATTTTGAAAACCTTCCACTGAAAACGTTAGTGGTTATTTAACTTCATGAATGGTTTTGAGTTTCCTAAATCTTGTTGTTTAGACCTAATATTAAATCCCAAATTTGGCTGTACTTACTTGGTTATTCATACTAAGACGAAAATGGAAGTTAATGAAATCAACTTAATTTTGACCTTTTTTTCTAATAAGTGCCAAAATGATTGCTATAGTTTTTGCAGTTTATTCATAACTACAAATGCTGGCAAGTTTCTGGACCTACATAAGTGAATTGTGAAAACAAAGAAAGTTTGTCTGCATTTTGACCACGTGGGTGCTACTCTGTCCTTTGCTTCCGATTGTTCTGAACACTGGCAATTTTAAGAATTGTTGCACTTGGCAAATGAGTCTTGCCCTTAAACTTCACTTACACTGCCAAGTGCAAGGGTTTGGTGCTTAGTTAACTTACCCTTATTGCAGTGCTTCTTGTGAATAGCTAATGCTTCTGAACTGGAACTGTACAGTTTGTATTTTAAAGCTTCTGTAAAAGTAGACTATTTGCTTTATTAAAGATATACATTTAATAGGTCATACCTGTTTAAAATATGCACCTTGCTGAAAATGAGCAGCACCTTAAACTGTAACTTCAGTTTGTAAACAAAGATCTTATTACATTAACATGGGATTATTTAACAGTTTGAAAATTGTCAACTGCCTACTTACTGACTCTATCATATAAAAATGAACTTCATGCACAGTCCAATCTTTAAAGCTGCTTTCTCAAGTGATGTCACAGAAGAATGTGGTACAGACAATGCCTCACCAGCGTCTCTGAACCAGTAGCACAGGTAAGCATTGCCAAAATCACATTTTTAGAAATCAGAGCGTCAGTAACTTTGATGGTAGTAAACTCTGTCCCCCTCCCTGCTGTGATCAGGGCTATGAGGTGAGTGTGTGTTAATTGTGGCACTGGAATGCTGTATGCAGGGTGTGCAAAGCTGCTTTCTTCCTTAGTGGATAGGAGCACACATGCATGCAGCTGGCCAGCAGTGCTGACAGTACCCAGGAAGCACATGAACCCATTCTGATTTTGCAAGAATTGACTTGTTTACAGAGCATTTCAAACATGGAGAAAAAGCCTTAGTAAACTTGGGCAAAAGCTTCTAAAATAATGGCTTGGTTTCTGCCTTACACATAATTGCCGAGTGGTGTGGCAGTCCTACCAGTCCTTGGAAAGTTAACATTTCTGTTTGAACTAAAGCATGGAGTAGCTTTTTTTTTTCATGTAGTATATTAATTCAGAATATACTAGAACATGAACATCTTCAGTTTATTTAGCACAATTGTTCTGATACAGGATACAAGAGTCTACTGCTTTTATATATGGAACATATGCCTCACTTCATCATGTTGGAGGTAGGAGTCACCTAGAGTAACATTTACCTTGTTATTATAGAACCTTACTCATGAAATGGGCTCTGCTTCCTTTAGTGCTGTCTTCACAACCAGGCTATTCCCAGAAGTACACTGGAGTTTTTCAGAGGGAAAAGGGAATGTGCTAATTATCATTCTTAAGCTGTGTTAGTTACAGTAACAGGGGAAAAGCTGGCCTAATACTACACTGAGTAACTACGTTCACATTTTAAACACAGAAGTATGAATCACTTTTTACCTGCTTTTTTCAAACCCACTTTCTTGGCTTTCAAAGTGGGACTCTAAACTATTTCTACAGTCTCTGAAAGCAGCACTGCTCATGTCCAGGTATTGCAGTCAGTCTACAGGCTTCTGCGTCCTGGGCGGAGTGGCATCAGCAATTGTAGCTAAATAAATGAGGTTCCTGTGCAGGATATGCTGGTACCTATGAAAGGAGGAAACACAGCATCTGGGAGACGTTCTTTTCTGGACAACTACCCATTCTTCCACTCGTATACTCTGATCAGTATTTGCAGTTAGGGAAAAAAAAGCAAACTAGAATAATAAATCAGGGGAAATTTAGTGTTCTTATTCTGAAGCCCGATATAGAGCGCTGAGCTGCACTCGGTAGTCGAGCGTGTGCGACCACCCAAGTCCGATGGGAAGTGGACATTGAGCCCGCAGCCCTGAGAGCCGCAGAAGGGCAGCGGAGCAGGAGAGGAGCGAGGTGCCCGTCGGGCTGCCCCGAGCAGCTGCGGCGCCGCCGCCGTCAGGCTGCGACAGGCTCGGTGTGCCGCACACGGCAGGGACGGCAGAGCGGCCGCCACACCAGCGCTGAGCGAACACCCTGACCGAGGCGGCAGGCTCCGTCCGTGCTTTACACGTCTCTGGAAACGATTCTGGGGAAAGCCCTTTGTAAACCCAGACGCATTTCCCTGGTAGCAGCAGGAAAGCCCCAGGAGCGGGAGCCGCCTTTCACCCCCGCTGCCGCAGCTGGGCCCCAGCGCTCCGCCCCGCCCGCCCACGTCGGTCACTCACTGCACGCAGTCGGTGGCGCGGCCCTTGTTCTGGTACTCCACAATGCAGCGGATCAGCTGGTCGTTCTCCTCCAGCAGCTGCGGCAAACAGCACGGTCACCACCCGCCCCGGCCGTCCCGTCCCGTCCCAGCCCGGCGTGGCTCACCCGCTGCAGCGTGTCCTGGTTCACCTCGGCCGTGCCGCGCAGCCGCTCGGGCACGAACGCCACGGACATGGCGGCGCGGCTGAGGGCGCGGGCCCGCCCCCGCCGCGCGCACGCGCGGGCCCGCCCCCGCCGGGAGCCGCGCGCCCCGCCCCGCCCGGCCCGCGCAACAAACAGCGGCCGCCCAGCGCTGGTACCAACAGTTTATTCTGGTTTAGAATAAAAAACAGAAAGCCTGGCCGGCCGGGACGCGGCTACGAAGGGGTTGCCCCCAGCCCGCGGATCCCGGCCCGGGTATTTACAGCTGGAACACCTCGGACAGTAAAGAGTTATTGCAACAGGACAGCACTTGCCTCTACGGTCAAAAATCTCAACAGGTGTTCAGAATCGTGACTTGTGGATCCCAAAAGGCAGTTGTTAAAACATGCAAAAACATTACTAAACAATGTTATCTAACTTCTACAGCTGTCAAATACTTGACCTTAATAAGGAAACCAATTACAAAATACTTCCTTGTAGTGCTATACAAAAGTTATAAAATTAAGATTCTATCAACCACTTTTAAATATTCCAATTTTTCAACAGTGCAGTTTTTCACATCTTTATCACCACTGAACATTCTGAAGTTAAAAAAAAAAAATCATCAAATTAGATCAAAGTGATGTAATCTTTGGATCCCTTTATTCCTGTGGCCTTCATATACATACACAGACACAAATGACCAGGTTTCTATTTCAGCATATCAGAAAGTTGCAACTAGTTATCCAGAATTGGCAAAAAGTCCGTACTGTCATTTGTGACTTCGTGGTGTTAGAACCAGAGTCTCAATGTCTCCAAGCTACGGTCTATCAAAATGCAAACAACTTCAAACACTAAGAATTCTTTAAATTGCTCATGTCTACAGGTATTACAACAAAGTTAACTTTTCAAGAAATGATAAATGGAGACAGACTTTTATCCCAGGCATTCCAAGAGAATCACCAACTCATGTGCCTGGTCCTTTATTAAAAAAAGTTAATATTTCTCACTAAATAAAATTAATTGCAAATCTTGACATATGAAAATTCCTTGTCTCCTTTTTTTGAAAATATCTCCTTAACTTGGTCAAATCCTGTGATATGCCAGAAACTACACAATCAAATTCTTGCAAGAGCAGTGAAGCGTGTATCCAGTTTTGTGTAATGGAAGAACATTTTCAAAACTTCATTATAATCCAAATATAAAATCAAACATTTAAGCTGAAAAGCTGCTAAAGAAAAAAAACCCAACTAATTCAGTGTTCTTCAGCATATCAACTTTCTGCAATAACAGTATGTTTACCGACTTAAAAATGTTTATTCTTTAAAAAATTAGTTGCTTTTTATACAGCTATACAAAGTTTGTAATGTTTCTTTGGCAATGGGATATAATGGAATTTTACAACTATATAAAAACTTTCCTTTGCCTAAGAAACAGTATTTACTGTGTGTACATATCTGACTGACAAAGCAAGTTTTCTACTGTCCAGCACCCTAGTTGATACAAGAACAACTACCTCAAAAGGGATTTTACAGGATTTCCAAAAAACAACCTTCGGTGGGTCAAAACACTCACAGTATCGACGGCCTTCTGCATACCATTGTCCTTACAACTTGAAGCAATTATCAAATACAGTTTAGTAATAAGAAAAATCCTTTCAGTGATGAAAAAATACTTAAAACTCCATCGAAGTACTGCTTATAATTAACTATACATAAGAAATTACTTATCCTTCTGTCTCAAATATATTTAATGCTTACTGTTTTCAAAGATGGCCATTTCTCAAAAGTAACTGCATTACACCCCTTTGAAATTAAATAGTTAAATCCCAGTGCTGGTGACAAGTATACAGCAAATTAACTTCATTCTTTGCAGAGATCAAAACTAATTCTCTGATTCAAGAAGATCTAGACGTTCACCTGGTTTGTAGCTTTCTTGTAGACTACGCAGCAACTTTGTTGTCTTTCTAGAGGAAACAAAAGCACACTGTTAAAATTCATTTTGCAAAACAAACCCTACAAACTAATCTGGGCAACAGCCCTGGGAGCAGCTGTGCTGTGCTGGCTGCTCCCCGTGTCCTGCAGCAGAAAGGAGACCTCCAGAGGAGATCAGGTTGGCATCTAGTCAAACCCCCTCAGTCTGGCACTGAGTAGAGCAGCTCATCACTCCAAATACAAAGCACAGCACAAATCCTCAGCCCTTGCACCACCTCCTACTCAACTGGAAGGCAGCAAAACTCTTGTTCAGAAATTCAAACTGCTGATCTTCAATCCCTCATTTCCATTCACGTTCAGCTACCCAAAGTTTCTTAAAGTCATAAGACTAACTGTTAAAAACTAATCATGGAACAGCTGAGGGATGTCTCACTACAGAGAGAAATGTGCTGTTACGTACCCCCATTTTTTTCATTAAAAAAAATTAAAATTTCTATTAAAAAAAAATCAGAGATTCTTGTTTGCAAAACTCTAACTGCTCATGCAGTAAACTAGCAGAAGTTGTTGTTCTGTCCCAGTCAGAACTCTAAAAGCCTAGTTTATCTGAACCAATCTGGATAGCTGTCTTTATTACTGATCCTAACCAGTACACCAGTCTATAAGATTTGTGCCAGCTCATTCTTGAACAATTCAGAAGTTTGTTGCACAATGGAAGCAAGTTAAATTATTCGTTCTCATTCTTTATATTTTACAATATTGCTTGGAAAAATGCTTGCAAGTTACAGCTCTAACACATGCATTCAATCTGTTGAATTTTTTTCCCCTTCTTTTTCTTCTCCCCAGTGCCAGCTATCAAATAGCTACTCAAGGGCATGTGACAAAAAGCAGTTTTTGTTTTGGTTCTTAATAGTAAAATGATACCACGTAACTAAAATTTCAGCATTAACGGACTTTCAAAAAGGTAGTCAGAGCCCCTGCAAAATACCGCTCAAGAAGCTCTAGTTGAGCATCAAATGTCAAAGCAGGAGATCCTGACCACTCCTTTCCCAGAACAGAGGATTGGGTCAGAGTAGCACGCAGTGCAGCTTACCCTATATTCGAAGTCAGCGAACTCCCTGCCTCCACGGCCCCCTCGGAAGCCGCCGCGGAAGCCGCGGGGGGCGGTGAAGCCGCCCCGGCCGCCGCCCCGGCCTCGGCCCCCTCGGAAGCCGATGACGCCCCTGCCCCTGTAGCCGCCGCGGCCGCGGTTGGGGCGCAGGGGGATGCCGAAGGTCTCGGCGTTCAGCCGCCGCTCCTCGGCCCAGGTGGGTCGCCGCTCCCTGCAGCACAAACACGGATCGCTGAGAAACGCTTGGGAAGGAAGGGAGAGCCGCCAAAAGCCCGTGAGGTTAAAAACGATACATCAATCACGGGGCAAATCTCCACAGTATCCCTTCCACAAGAACCCAGGTGTCTGCCACAGCTCACTGGACTCATCAAGAAGGAATATGGTACAGAGTCATTAGTTAGATATTAATAACGCTCTAAGAGTTTGCCATATTGAAAAGAACACTCTGCAGCCTCTGCACACAGTATCATTTGAAGCAAGAAACAGTTTACAGTTACAGATGTTAGTTTATCTGGCTCTGAGTACAACCAACTCCCCCTCCCCTCCTGCAAGTCAAAATAGGTCAGCAATCCACATCATCGTGTCTAATAAAAAGGCAGCAGCAAAAGATAAGCTTTAATTTTCCTGAAATGCTATCTGCCCATTTGAACAACACTACTGGCTGAGACAGTTATATAATCTGCTTAGAAACCATTACCACAGCAGGGTCATAATTGTTTTAACTGAAGTGTTAATTTAGCAGCAAAGCAAAACAAACAAACCCCTCCACATCTTAGTAAATCTTAGTATATACTTTACTCTTATGCACTAGAGCCTGTGCATTAAATTCTAAAAGCATGGCTCTAAAACACTTAAAATACCTTCCTATGACCGTATTGCACCTGCCCACAAAGAAATTTTGTGCTTCTTATTTCCATTTTATTTTTGGCAGCTGCATGTGAAAATAAGCTCTAATCACCTTTGATTCAGAGTTGATTGTAATGAGTACCACTGACATTATGATATAAACATGCATAAAGCAGACTAACAAGCTTCTCCTTGCAGGCCATACCTATTGTCATCACAGGAAATGTTATCAAAAAAGGATTTGGTTTTGTCATAGTAGCAATTGGGTCCAAGTGGATCTTCCTCATCAGCATTCCCTTCGCTATTTTGGGTATCAACACCTGAATCACCTTTGTCTTCTCCGTTTACAGGCTTCTCTGGTTTCTCAAGTTTATCTTCTGGAAAATAAAAAGTAAACAGAAGTCTTAAAAACCAGCACTGTTAAGTTATTCCCAATCAGAGAGGAACTATACTGAATGCTACAAAAATAATTTAATGTGGAAATCAAATAATTTGACATGTAAATTAGGATGTATTGCTGTCTGGAGGTTTCTATGCTTCCTGTGGGTTTAGTTACCAAAAAACCCTGCAGCAGAACAGACTTGATACCCATCTATTTTCTTCTGTCTTCAGCTACCTCCTTCCTGGGCTTAAGAGCCTGATTCAGTGAATCCTCCTAAAAGCCATCCCATGGTTTTGTACATCCCTGTTGTCCTTTGTCTTCTGGTTTTGCTGTCATCTCCTTTGAGAAGCAGGACAAGCATACTGACTTTATAATATATTTACTTCCTAATATTGTCTCAAGTTCAATTCGGTGTTTTAACTGGTACTGAAAACGATGCTGACAGTTCTGGCAGCTATTACTATCTTCAAATCTCATTTCTAAATGTCTACACCTTAAATTCCATGATGCTGTGCATAAACTTCAAGATAACCAGCTGAATCTTTCCACACCACACACAAGAACTACCACACTCACAAACATTTCTATAGCTATTTATGGTTAGTGCTCCCTTTTCGCTTTATTATACTGAAAAAAAAGTATCAACAGCACACCATCAACTGATTGAAAAATGATCCAAAAAGACAGGTGAGCACCAGAAGGCAGATCTTCTGGGACGCAACTGGTGTTTCTACTCTACACTGAAATCTGGCCATTTATTCCCACCTTTTGTTTCCCAGCTTTTAGCCAATCATTCACTGAAATGGGGAACTCACTGTATTAACCTACAGCAATTTTGTCCAAAAATAGTAGCAGCAGTGTAACAAACAGGTGGCTGGTCACAAGAGAATGAGGTAATCAAAACAGAAGCCTGCTAGAAAATGAATGCTGGCAGCATGGTTTTTAACTACTCCTGTGTTCCTCTGGAAAAGGATAAAAGCAAGGAAATGCTAGACCCTTTCAAACAAGCTCTCCTACGTACTACAATGAAGTTCTGATCCCAAACTCCTTTGCTTTTGGTCTATGATTGACATTATAATTTTGGCTTAATAATTGAAAACCTAAAACATGAATTTTCTTTTATTGCATCCTTTATAGAACTTTAAAGTAATAAACATAATTTGGACTTCTGGGTAAGCAATCTGCATATTTAAGAGACTTGTTAGAACTTCACAGATGATATCTGCTAGTTAAAATTCGTTAAAAACTCAAACAGTGACCCAAGTATTCAATTAACATATGATTACTTATTAATTTGTTTTTGAATTTATTTTTTAATGACTGCAAACAAGACTTAATACTATATGCCTTTCAAGAGTTGTTCTCCAAGGAAGGGTCAAAACAGCAAGACACAGTTTTTCCAGGCTCAAATCAAAATTGTTTTACCTTTTAATTTAAGTTTATTATGAAATTCTCTATCAATTTCCTCCTTATTGAATTGCGCATTTGCACTTTCAAAGTCGAAGTCCTTCTCAAACTTCATTGGAACATCCCTCCTAATACCAAATCTTCCTCGGCCCCCTCTGTGACCTCCACGGCCTCTCCGTACTGCAGGTGCACCTGGAACTGAAAAGAGGGAAATTTTGTTTGGTTTTGCTTTGTGGACTGGCTTTTCTCTGAGGATGGTGGAGGGTGTTTTGTTTTTGGTTTACTTTCCAATTCCTGGAGTAACAGGTTGGGACTTCAGAAATGCAGGAAGAAAATGTCTGTTGTTTAAAGTGCCATCAGAGCAGCTTGTAATTTGTAAATTCACTCACAGTAACAATGACAGTGACACAGAAAGCATAACAGTACTAAATTTGTGTGTTAAAAGACTCTCTAGAAGTCTTCCAAAAGCTTTTAATGACAAGTTAAAATATTAGTGGCTTTTCAGTCAAATATTTTTCTAGAAAGGCTTTTATTTCATACTATTATGTTTATAAAGCCATTATAGAAACATATACTTGATTTATATCTTTATTTAAATTGATTGCTTAAGTATAAAACAACAAGAAAAGATTTTTCTCTTTAATGCTGACTTAATTTGCTTGTCTTCTTCTGGCTCAATGCAAAGTTGTTACCTTCTCAAAGCAGAATGTGAAATAATTTATGTATTTTAGAAAATTTTAAAAAAACTTATTGGTCTGAAAGCAATTATAGCTATTTCTCAAAACATGATTTACCAATTTGTCGTTTGTTTTCATTTCTGAGTTCATTTTCTGATCTTGAAACCTTGTGTGCTTCAGCTAAAGTTGGAAATAAAAACATGATTTGTTTATCCAATTAGATAGTTTGATCATACTTCTGTATATATAATTCAGATTTTTAAAAAATCCAAACCTATAAATGTAAGGAACATGTTTAAATAATAAAATTTAAAAAAAGGAATTTAGAATATATACTTAAATTTAAAAATAAATATGTATCTAATCCAGGTCTCTGCTGGCCAGCCTAGCAATAAGACAGCAGGAAAATTCCTATGCACTACCCTTTAAAAGGGCACTTTGTATGTGTATGGAAGGAATTAAGCTGTATGAAAACTATGCAAAGCTACCTCGTCTGTGCTCTTGGCTCTCTAGGGATTTTTGGCTTGCAGACACCAAAGGTCTGGTTTGTACAGGACTCCTCCTCCCAACTGGTGCTGGAGTGGGCAGGTGGGCTGAAGCTGTTTGTACAGCTTGTTCCATGGTGGGACTCCTTCTCAAATGGTCCATCTGAGGGCTTGAACGACCTGGGGAAAAAATAAAACCAAACCCCACAGGGTTAGTTCTCATCTACAGAGGTGAGTTACAGATCTCAACCAATCTAGACTGACAGGTTTATCTCCTTTGGCAGTCAAGACAGCTGTGTTCAAAAAAAAATTCTGCACCATCAGATCCACTAATTCAGAGTACTAATTCAGAATAAAGGATGTTTTGGAATGCCCCTTCCCTCAGTCTAAAAAGAAATAACGGATAAGACACCCAATCCCTACCAACCCATTAACAACGTACATTTAGCTGTGGTATCAAACTTTGGCATTGATTGGAGGTAAAAATGCTCCTTCCGCCTCCCTGGGATGCCAAGTGGGAAGAGGCTGCTCCCAAAGGCAGCTGTGACGCTGCTCGGGCGCTGCTGCAGGATCCCTGCCCGTGCCAGGACAGCGGCACGGGCTGGGCTCAGGGCGGGGAAGGAGCTGTGGGAGCTGCCCCACACAGCACTGCTCACACAGCAGCACGAGGGGCTGCAGGCAGAAGCACCTCCACAATGGAGCCATTGATGCAGCCAGACGAGTTTACAACATCAAATAGGTAAATCTATTAAGAAATTAGAATAATACTCAAGTCCCAGTAAGTAAAAGAACAAGGTTCTGTTTCATTACAAAACAAAAGGAAAACAAAAAATAAACCAAACCCACAAAAGCTCATGAACAAAACAATAAATCCAACCATACCATACTTGCAATTGACAAAGACAAAAAATATTTCTAAAAGCAAACACTCAGAAAACCCCAGGAAATGTTGTGGCAGAAAGTATGCTCACCTGGAGCGTAAGTCATACATGTCCACAAATCGTAAGGCTTTAACTGCAGAAAACCAAACTTCTATTTCAACAAAGAAATCCTCAGCATATTTTTACCCCTTGAAGTAATCCAACAAAGTAGAACCTATTTTTTGGCAACCCACTCAACTGGTCCTAGAAACACTCCTAATGAGTATGCAAATCTCACCTGGAATTTAGGAAAAAAACCTGTTTGCTCTAAGTGTTTTGCCTTTTAACATGACTGCATAATTTAAAAACAGCATTAGGATTATATCTCAGCACACACACTTTGACAGCAAGGAAGAGTGGAAGAGCAGGAAATAATGGGGTTTGGGTTTTTAAGGAGCAATGTTAACAACATTTGCATTTAAGCTGATGGACTTCCCATTTCACTCAGTATGAAGTATTTGCAGTTCTGCCATGTTATTAAGAAAACTAAATACTGAATTTCCATGTGTATCTGCTAACACTATTTCACTTAATTAAGCCCTACTTCTCAGAACAGGTGCTTTAAGGGTAACAATACATGGATTACTACCTGCAGCACTCCAAGATGGAGAGAAAACACGTTTAAAGAGCAAACATAAAGCCTCTCAGTGTTTCCTGGGTTTAATACCAAGTGTTTTCATGAGAGAATTCAGCTGTTTGGTTGGCATTTCTAGCAACCACCAAAACCACATGGACACAACTCATCAAAAAAGACTGAAGTCACTAAAAAAGATTTTACCTTGAGACATCTGTGTTTTTAGTGATCTTGCATCTGTTGTAAACGCAGAACCAACTGCAGTGCTTTGGGACATGTTAGCACTGCCTGAAGAGTCTGTTCCAAAAGATGTTAAAGAGGCTCCTGCTTTGAAACAAATAATATAGTTGTAAAATCTGGTTTAGACTTTTGTTAAAATTAGCACTAAATGATTAGTGAAGCTTTATTAGGCAGTTATTCGAAAGTACACGTAAGTCTGCCCTTCCCATAGAGTTTTAGTTTAATCTAACAGATGTATGCACATAGACTAATATGTTGACTTTTTTAATGTAAAATGAAAAATAAAAGAGCACTTCTAGCTTCACCATCGCAAGTATTAACAAAACACAGTCATCTTACAGAGCCATGCATGTTATTGGTATATATTTCCACTTAAGATATTTTCAGCAAAAATATGACTGCCACATCTTACTAATTGATATAAAATTACAGTCAATTCTACAGCCTTTCTTTTGCATGGCTAACATTTTCAGTACTAGGAGTAACACTGCTGCTGGAACAGTTATGAGACTGTAAGTTCCTATGAGAAAAACCAAACTGTGAAATGAACTCTCAGGGATGAAGTAAAGTTGGTTGGTGAGTCTCAGAGAGAATGTGCAGCCTAAAGGAGCAACTAGCCCATGCAGCTCACAAATACTTCCAGCATCTATTTCCTACCTAGCTAGCACCTCACAAACAGCTGGAGGATTGCACTGGCACATGGTTGCTGAATAATCCAAATCCTTAGTTAAGGTACACAGCACCTGGTCAACCCAATGGCACAGCTATGGGGCTTCTGGAGGGGCTGCCTCTACCACTTGTGAAATATAATGAGTACTGGTCCCTCAGAGATAGGTGTTTAGATCTCAATCCATTATTTTGATTTAAAATGCAAAAACTATGAAGAACTCTCTACTTTGGAGCTAAACTGCAGAACTAACAGAGATGGAAGACTTTGAATCTGCCTTAGGATAAGACACAGATGAAATTCTAAGCAGTGATTACTGTCTGCACACAGAGAGCTTCACTCCCAGGAAAACACCAGGTAACCAAAGTGAACCTACCAACTCCCACAGTGCCAAACTGCTGCCCCACCAGCGGGCTCGGGCTGAACTGACTGTATGCAGGCATCCTGCCAAAAGGACCATAGGACCCCACAGACTGGAACGAAGATGAAGTTGAAGATCCTAGTGAAGACTAAAGACAAAACACAACACGCTAGCAAAAATTCATATCTACACCAAAATTAGGAAATAGATCTATGAGGTTAGACATGTAGAGACTCTAAAATAAACATTTTTACAATATGCACAGCTTAGAAAGCACTTCTACCCTTCCACCATCACAGACCTGGAGAAACAGAACACAAAACTTTGCAATCTTTTCCCTATAACCTCAGACACCGGACTCTCTTGTCCAACACACACATACAAGCTTTGTTGACAAATTTAGGAAGTGTCCTATCTTTTTCCTTGAAGTTTCAAACCCCACAGGTACAAAAAGACACCCAAGCATACTGGAGGAGGCTGAGGCTATCACTTTAATTGGGGTTCACAGTAATGCAACTTCACCGTTCTTCACTACAACTGACAGAGGGATTTCAGCAAATTTAATAAAATTCCTTGGAGAAATGCAAGGGCACATCATAAGAAGTTCAAGAATTTTATCCTATAGAATAGATAAAGCAGATGAATTGTATTACATGGGATTATTGATATCCATTTGAAGCAACAGATTTCCTCTTGCTCTCAGGGATAATTTTAAGATATTCCGTAAGCCCACTCAAAGAGCCAACAAATTTCTGAGAAAATTATTTATCGGTCTGTTTACTACAAAATGACAGACTAATTAAATCTGAAAGCTTCTAGCTGTAAATTTCTTTCCCCTCAGAAACCCAGTACTCACTATTCAAGTAACTGCCTTATAGTATGAAGCCTCTTTAAAAACATAGCTAGATGAAACACTTTAAAGTAAGAGTTAGCAAAAGCTGTTGAACATTAAAACAAAAATAAAACGAACAAGCAAACAAAAGCCACTAATTATCTGGAGATATTTCAGCATCTACTCCATTTAATTTATACCAAGTCTGATCTTCTGAAGAACCATGTGTCGTAAGCCAAATCCCTTTCAAAAAGGGCATCAAGACCTCCAAAAGTTCATTAATTGGTTTTGAAATGACAGCAGCTTTGGTATGTAGTGCACTGTGCTAGAGTTAGATTTCAACATTCATTTTCACAGTTGAAGACTGAAAGGAGAAAATCCTTCCAGAGCTCTTCACATTGGATTGTGAACCTTACAGTGATGAACACTAGTTTTTAAACACTCAGCCAGAGAGCACTTAAGCTAGCAAGTTACTTCTTCAGCAACAATTATTGACAGCTCTGTTTTGACTTACCTGAACAATAGCAGGGTCCTGTGGCAAGGAGCACTGAGGTTTTGGTGGCTCACAGACAGTCAGGTCTTTAATGTCGCTGCCACGGAATATGATGTACTCGAAGACCTCATCGCGAGGCGGGATGGGTCTGTCCGTTGGTCTGTCTTCTGTACCAAAGGAGCGAACTGCACGGGGGGAAGGGAGGAAAGAAATGAAACATCCCACATTCAACAAAAGGGTTTCAATCATACTGCAGACCAACAGCTTCAAATAAAAAGAATAAAATTTAATTGAGAGAAAAATGCTTATTGAATAGGCATCATATTCTTTATCATTATCAACTCTCCTCAGACAAGCAATAATTTAAGCTAAAAAAATTTGAGTTAAAACCCAAGCCAAAAGACTGAGACATCACTTATGCTATTAATTACATGCTAAATATTTCAACTGTTTTGTGAGGGTAAGGAGAAGCAGCAAGGCAGGTTTTTTTGGCTGGTAAGTCAATCCTATGGAATCAAGGAACACATGAGTTTACGTATGTCCTATTCTGTATTTGCAAAACAGGAAAAATACACTAATACTACTAAAATCTGGAATATTAAAAATTACCAAATGTTAATTTCTCAACAGATTCAAAATTTAATAAAACAACAAGAATTCTGTGGTATGTATATAAAATGTTCCCTAAGCAAAATGCCTTCTTCTTGCTGGTGCAATGCTCATGTCATATGATCTCTGCCAAATTAAGTAAACTCACTGGGGCATAACTATCTTCCTAGTGTGCACCATACCAAGACATTAAATTCCTTGTATGAATGAATTCCAACAGCGTTTTCACTGCACAGCAATGAGGCAATCGAGCTCTTCCTTTTGCACTACATATAATCACTACCACTGTACATGGATGCCATCACTTGATGGTCACTGCCCTCTCAGAAACTTTTGCCCCACCCTTAGACAGCCAACCCTGGGTGAGTATCAAATAAAACAAATAACTGAAGAAGAGATTTGTCTTCAAGGGCTAGTTATGTAAGCAAAAACTATAAACAATGGATTGAAACCAGAGAGAACAAAATAACAGACCCCCAACATCATGATAGTCAGATTCAATCACAATCTCATCAACTTGTAGCAGCTTTAACAATCCCTCATGACTGTTTTTGCTCCAGCTTTTTAAAAAGTGTTTGTTTGCTTTGCAAGGTACAGGTTATGCCAAGGAAAAAGAAACCGTATTTTGCTTTAATTTACCAGAATTAGATTTCCCTCCATTTTCAGATGCATCAACATTTTGGAGACATAATTAGGCACTTATTTGCAGCCATAGAATCATTAGTCAAGAAAAGCAGTCTCCTGTAGAGATGTATAAATGATACTGAGTCATTTCTCAGGCTGCACCAGCCATCTTCCATCACTGTTGCTTCTTGTGATACTGCATAAACAGAGCTTAACAGTCAGGTATTAAAATCTTTTTAAGAAGCATAATTCAGAGGTAGAGAGATCATGCCCACACTACAAAGAAAAATAACATTAAGTAGTTACAATTATTTTGTTCATGTATCATCTAGTGAGCTGACTTTCATTATCTTTTCTGTTTCTGTGCATCTGAAAGTCTGCTCTGAATGGTACTACAAAGTGTGAGCAATGTAAAAAGGCACACAGTGTTCAGTTAATGTCAGTCCTTGTTAGGAAAGGAATCTGTCTTCTTTTCCTCTACAGAAAAAAAAAGTGTCTGGAGCTTAAGAATTTGCAGAAATTAAAGTAATGCACAGTAGCTTAATAACATTATCAGTGGGTCATCTGAATTCCTGGGTCAATTCATTCCATTGCTTTTTATTCACCAGGCTCTTCTATTTCACAATCTTGACCATGGATCAACTCTCACTTTCTGGCCATCTTATACTCTATTTATCAGATAACTAATAAATTATCTTGGACTTTCATGCCAACATTTGACCTACTGCCTCGGTAAGTAAAACCAAAGCTGATTTTGTACTGCTTCTCTCTGTCCCACATTGAAGCGGTTTCTCTAGGAGCCATTTTCTCTACAAAGGTGCACAAAAATGGCCAGAGTATGATCAGTAAGTTACCAAAGGATTACTCTCTCTATAATGCAAAGAAACTACTCTATAGCAACACCACAGGGAAAGGGTAGTAAGTTGGCGGGGTTCATCTTGCCTTTACATGGAAATGAAAATCTGATGAACTGTGGAAGAAACATGCTTTAAAAGTATTTCTCTTAAGTCAGAGCCACACTACACAGGCAAGTATTTTAATATTAATACTAATGCCCCATGACACATATAGGAATAGTTCTAACACCTAGCAATTACCTTTCTCCACTCTAAACCAATAAAAAAAGGGAACCACCAGACTTTCATCTACTGACGCGCTGAAAGAAGTAAAGGGATTTTAGTGTATGTTCAAAAACAATGTCTTTCTCCACACTGTGAAATTACCATAACATCAAAAAGAAGTTTTTCAGTGCCAAAATTTAGAATTCATCTTTAACAGATTCAACTGTCTATGCAGTCTAACTCAAGACACTGATAGGGTTGCCAATGGTTTAACAATAAAACATATCAAGACTTGTTACTAAAGTTTGCTACTGAAGTTTAACTCTTCCTTTACTTCTCCCCTGCCCCAAATCAAACTGGTTTTATCACAGCCTTCTGCAAAATACAAACACAATTTCATCCAATGAAGATTTGCTCTGCTGGAGAGGGGTAAGCTAAGTCCCCTGATTTGCAGTTCAGACTTGCTCTCTCACCACAAGCAACCAATATAACCACTCCAAGTCCAACTTCCTTTCAAAGCAGGAACCAGAACTGCGAGGGCGGTGATCTTCGGAAGGGCTGCTTAACGAGTCCACCCCAATCAGGTCCTTCAGGGTAGTGTTAAGGAGTTGAAAGTACTTTTTGTATATTGCAAAGGCATACTTGCCTTGACAGTTTCCGTTTTCATCGCTTATGTTAGGATTTAACACAATCTGAGCTCATGAAAGTATGAAGTCTAGTATCAGAAGTGGCCAGTATAGCAGGATTTTAAAAAGAAACAGCTTTTACCATGTTTTCTCATACTCAGAAATACTAAGTTGCCAGAGTATCAAAAGCATAAGGTATTGGAGCAGCAGCAGGCTTAGAGCTCTGTCCAGCTCTGACTCTTAGGGAATTCCCTCAGACTATCTCCTTGCTCTAGAACAAGGTGCCGTAGCTCATATAGACCAAAATACTGAAGAGTGAGATGAAATTAAAATAAGCACAGAAATATTGTCTTGTGGAAGACAATGTTACAACTGCATTAAATCTATTCATTTTACCTTTTCTATTTCAGGATTGGTTTTTTTCTGTTGTTTTTGAAAGATCTAAACTGGCTTAAGGACTTGCAAACAAAAGGACAAGCAGTACATGTTAAAAGCAAACTTATTTTTTGTCAGTGTAAATACACACAAGTCAGTAGCTAGCTAAAATAACTAACTCTCTTGAGCCTATTAATCTGTATACTTGTGCCCAAGTAATTCCACCAGCTTCATATTAAAGTGCTGTGAACAAATTTTTGTACAGATTTTAAATGTGATATCACAACTATATGATATTGTACATTACCAAATTATACTACTGTAGCATTCAATGGCAATATTGCAACTTTCCCTGTCAGTTAATAGATTACTTGTTGATTAACACAGGGAAACTAACTAGAATGTTAATCAGAAGTGAGAGTCCTGACTCCTCTAGCAAGGGGACTCTGCTCCCCCACAAGGTGAATTCCTGCAACCAGGGAGTTCAGTCTGGGCACAGCACTGACACTCCTCACACAGAAAGCAGCTCCTCCCTGCTCCTGAGGCACCAGGAGGAGCATGACTACTAAAAGGAGACCACCACAGCTGAACAAGTCATTTCAACTGCCACCTCTCCAAACATCACAGCCTTTCACTGCAAGCATGCTGCGACGCCTGCACACCACAGCAGCTCATTCCTCCAGAACAATTACCTCAGCCTGCATTCCCTTACTTGCAGGGAGATGGAGCAGGCTTTGACAAGAGGAATTTTTCTGCTGTGACATATTGTGCCCAAGTTTGGTTTGGCACACAGGCCCTAACCTTCAAGACATCCAAGGAGCATGTTACTTAACTGACTAAATAATACTTTCCTAAACAACTGATAGAAATTTAACCCTCCCCTTTCCTGCTCCCACCCCCAAAAGAGCTCAAGCTCAGGATTTCAACTTTCCTCTGTCTGCACTTTTAAGTCTTTCACCTGCAAATAATGTTCTGTAGAAGTCTGAAAGGGAAATTTTCCTTTGGATGTGTCATTATACCATGGACAACACTATCACAGATGGCTGAAAATGTCAGAAGTTTAACCACGTAAAATAACCAAAAGCTATTTCATTAGTATCTATCAATTATCATGGTCCCAAATGCTAAGTGAGGTCCAAGAGTTGCTAAGTGAGAACTGATGCATTATAGCAGAAACAATATATAATTCTGGTTTTTATACTCACTTTCCTAAGGATTCCCTGTTGTTGAAAGAACAAAGCTTTTTCTGACACAATATGGTTGTTCTGACACAACTTACCTGCATTAAAAACAACTCTCTCTAAATCAGCGCCTTGAAATAGAAAAGCATTGTGTATAACTAATATGAAAGATCACATCTCCTTTTTAATGCCACAACATTTAAGATCAAGCACTCTGATTATTCTGTAAATGCCCCAGGTAGAGCAGCAATCATTTTCCAGCAAGAAAACTAAATAACCATAGCTTGCAAACTCATCTTAAACTGTTTGGGCCTAATGTTTAAAAAAAAGATAATGAATTTTTAAAAAACTAAGTGTTAACTAGAACAATGAACTAGAAGGATATTTCAAGTTATTTTAACTTGAGACTTGACAATAGGTGAGTGGGTTTTGATTCCAGACACTGTCTCTGAAAAGCTATTGATCCAAAGAAAACATATGCACCAATAAAATTTAAGAACCTCAAATATCTGCACAGCCTGCTTAGTGCTTGGAATCCATTATAGATGGGTGTTTCCCCTGCTATTTAAATAACTATACACTTACACACTTTGTGAAAGGATGCATCACTTCACTTTATCAGACTCCAGTTTAGATTAAAAATGTTATGCTCAATATTTAACAGTTCTTATCTTTCTCTAAATGTGAGACAGAGGCCACAAGTTTCACTTAGTGAAAAGATCACCAGGTTGTAAACAAAATGCTGATTAGAGAACTAGAGCAGATTGCCCCAGTAAGGAAGCACTACAGTCTGTGCTGGCAACCTAGAAATCTCATTTCTGTCTGAAACCCTCAACAATTTAAGATGAATGAAAGCATTCCATGAATACAACTTCATGAGATTAATCTCTGACTTTGATTTAGCCCACACAAATCCTATGGTTGGGCAAATCTGTAGTTATTCAAGAACAGACCCTACCTCTACTTTTGCACTTCATGTCACCATTTCAGCATCTTCAGTTAGAATACAAATAATGCTAAGGGTCCCTGCATTCAATTCAGGGAACAGTCATGTCACACACACTACACTACTCAGCATCTGAAAGCATCAAGTCTTTTGGGGTTATTTTTTGCTCTCTGGCAAAAAAAAAAAAAAAATTACAATTGTGGTCAAGAGTCACACTAAACAGTTCTGGTTTGACTCTGGATTCAGCACAAGAAGAAGAGGTAACTATTACCTGATCAACATATTCACAGCTAGAGTACAAGTTCTGCTTCTTTCACAAACAGACCTGGCCAATAATTTTAAGCACACCTGCCACCTTACATATATACACTATCATATACATTCAATGGCCTAAACCTGCAGAAACCTGAGTACTCCTGAGTTGAGCATTCTGCTCATTAAGGACAGAAACCATATGGTTGTTAGCAGCTCCACGTTAATCTCAAGATTTTTGGTTCCATGTGATCTAGAAATACTGGTTTATTCTCTTCTGAATCATAACACTACTACAAAATGCACATTTTTCAGCTAACTCAGCCAAGTTTTATTAAAGTAAATTTAATAGTTTAGATTTACATTACTGATGAGAGCTATGAGAAGACAGTAGATTAGACTTGTAAATGTAGTTTGATCTACCTTAAATATGTACACTCTGGCAGATACACCACAACATGACTTAACCACTCTTGAGAAGTCATGCAAAATTGCCTTGGTCAGCACTAAATCAGTCTAATTTTGGACAAGACTATCACAAGGTCCTCAAGGATAGGATTCTTTTTCTATGTGCTTTTGCACAAACCTTAACAATCACAGCATGCAACTGGAATTTCTGAACATTTATTCTTAATCACAATATCCAGCTTTTACTTGTATAAACCAAAATCCGCTGTCCTTTCAAAGTAGATAACGCAACTCCAGCCAGGCAATTCAACCTAAAGGCAACTTTAGAAGTAAGTGAAAATCACAAAGTGAAAGCTAACTGCCCCTTAAGTGAAGTGTGCAAGCTTGTTACCAAAGCCACTGTCAGGTGTTTGAAAGCCCACGTATCGCAACTTACAAAACAGAGTAACCTATTTCTTAAACAATAACGGGGGGAGGGTGTTGCTTGCGAGGAGGGAAGGCCTTAAAGTGACACAGCGCACAAACAAGAATAACCACAAAGGCCAGCGAAAGCGAACACATGGTATGCACCAGCACCCAGGGCAGCTGTGCAGAACGGAACAGACCGGCGTTAAGCCTTTCCTATCGGCCAGGAACCGAGCTCTGGAATCCTCTCTGTGCCAAATATTTCATTTACACAACGACTAATTTTTCCTCTTACCTAATGGCTGCACAGACTCTCTGCTTTTACATATGAATTTGGATTGCTTAGCAAGGACTTCACAGATGCAAGACGTGTAAAGGAAAAGAATGCTGAGTGTTGCAGAATCTATTATAAAGAAGTTATTAAAAGTTCTGACTTAATGTTTTACGTTGAGAATGAATTATGATGCATGAGAAACACTGAAGTCCCTCGGACATCCAGTTTCAAAAATTCTCTTTTTTGCCCACAACTCTCTTCTCAGTAAACCTGTCTTTCTAACTTTCTTACACATTCACAAAGATCCCTTCTCTTTCTCGAGATGTGTGTGCGTGTACATATACATATATATACACACACACATATATGTGTCTTCTGACCGGTAACATTCTCGTACCATTTCGAACTACACTGTACCATACACCTCCAAAATTAACAGCTTGCGTTCAGCTTTTGTCGGTAGTCCCGCACTCAGGATTCCCTCCAGACCCGAGCTCTCTGCCGTCCTAAGATGCAGAGCAACGCGGTCATACACGGCCCTATACCCTGTAGATCTGAAATTCTTAACGATGCAAAGAAAACCTCTTTCTAGCCTCCCCCTCCTACTGCCTTTCACGCACTAGCTCTGGACCGCTTCCACCGCCACGGGTTTCATACTTGCAGTCTACCAGAACACCTGTGAGCAGCCCCGGCTCCTCTCGGCGCGGGTCCCTTCCCGGAGCGGGGAACAGGGGCAGCGCCGCCGCTCCCACAGCCAGACCCCCTCTCGCTCCCACCTCCCCCGCAGCCGCCCCGCCGGGACCAAGCGGGCTCACATCGAGCTCCGCCGGGCCCCCGCAGGCTCCGGGCCGCCCGCCGGGCCCCCTCGGCGCCCGGAGAGCGCCGCGGCCCCGGCCCCTCGCTCGGTCCCGTCCCGCGGCCGCGCTCCCCTCCCGCCCCTCCCCGAGCCCGCCGGGCCCGCTCCTTACCCTTGGCCAGCGCCACCGTGGAGTTCTCGGTGTCGATGGTGTACAGGATCCCCTCATAGCGGATCTCAGCCTTGGAGATGAGGCTGATCTTGCTCCCGATGTAGGGCGTCCCCCCGCTCATGGCGCTGCTTCTCGGTCACGGACACCCCTTCGCCGCTGCCGAGGGCCCCTTGCCAGGCACAAGCAGCCAAGCAAGCCCGACCCTGAGTCGTAGTAGGCGCTGTCCGCCTGCCGCCCCGAGCCGCCGCTCCCCACACAGCGGAACCCTCGGCACAGCCCTCAGCGGAGCGCTCAACACGGCCCGCGCCCCGCGGCTCCCAACATGGCCGCCGCCTTCATCTTCCCTCACAGCGCCCCCCCGGCCCGGCCCGCCAGGTGCATGCCGGGAGCGCGGCTACTCTCGCGAGAGCTGCGGGCGGGGACGCTGAGTTGGGGGCGGGAACGTCGTGGCGCGGCGCCGGGGTCCCGCGCGCGACGGCGGGAGCGGAGCGCGGAGCTTCGGCCCCGCTCGGCCCCGCTCGGCCCCGCTCGGCCCCGCCCGGCTCGGCTCGGCTCGGCCCCGCTCGGCTCGGCCCGGCCCGGCCGGCCCCGGCGCCCCGGTGCCGTCGCTCGCAGCCCGGCCCTGGCGCAGCCCCTGAGCCCCTGAGCCGTCGCCGGGCAGTGACAGCAGCTGTGGTGGGGTTTCGGGGTGCTGAGGGGCCCGGTCGTTGAACTGCAAATCCTGGGGACCCCCGCGGGCAGTGGACAACACGTGGAGAACCGCAGGAGCGGGGTGATAACACCGGTTTGTGCGTCACGGAGATTGCCTTTGCTGAGTGCTGAGAGTCCCATCCTGGCAGCCAGCACTAAGCAACACAATGTTGATGAAATCTTGACCAAAGTGTGGGATTAACCCTGAAAAACACCCTTTTAGTACAAGTAAACACACCCAAACACCTCATGATTTTGTGATTGCGCTGGATTTGCGCACCTTAAGTAAGAATCACAAGTGAGGCTTCTGTTGGAGCCACGATACTGCCTCAGGCCCCCTGGAAAACACAACAAAGACAAGCCTCTGGAAAGGTTATTTAGCTTTGGTTTCAGCACCTGGACATTATCATGTCGCAAAGGTTTGGCAAGTATTTTGTTCAGAATAGCCTCTGAAACGCAATGACAAGCCAGGCTTTCCCGGAAGGGGCTGCAGGTGCCGAAGCAGGAGCCAGGCTGGACTCCTGGAAGCTTTGTGCCCAGGCTGGGCTGGCTGTGAGGTTTTCAGGAGGACTGGAGTGCCCAGGGAGCTTTACTGTCATTTGCTTCCAGCGTGTCCTGAACTACCTCAAAGATCATGAAGCAAAGTTCTGCTGTAAATGACAGGATAGAATCTATCAACTCTGGGGGATAGCACTTTTGAAAATTTGCATTTGTAATTCAGCTCAAAATAAAGCTCATGTTTAGAGAAATAACAAAGACACCTCTATTCTGTTACAAGGAAAGAGGCTGGTCTGTGGCTGCTTCGCAACCTCGCTTGGGGGAGGTGGAGAGGCTTGTAACAGTGCAGAGGATCAGCTACCATGTTACAGGGATTTCCTGCTGCCTTACACAAGGGAAGAAGAGAGGGAGGGAGGGAAGGAAGAGAAGGAAGAGAAGGAAGGAAGTTCTGGTGTACATCTTCCTGAGACTTCTTTCATCTGCCTCTCAAAACTGGAGAGGGTGATTTTTATGGAAACACCCAGTTTAATGCAAATGGACGCTAAAATTTATTTCCAAAGTCCGGACTAGTTGCAGAACCATTGTCTACTTTCCGTTCTACATTTATAGAATTAAGGTTCCAAGATCATGTGGTTGGAATAGGAAATAGAAATGGACATTTCTTTGAGCTTGGGATACAATGGATGAGCTTTCAAAGAGAAATCAAATGGAAAAGTGTCAAGGTTTATTTTTTCACAGAATCCCAGGGTGGTGAGGCTGGAGGGGCCCACAGGGGCTGCTCTGGTGCCACCTCCCTGCTCCAGCAGGGCCAGCCCAGAGCACAGGGCCCAGCAGTGTCCGTGTGGCTCTGCAATGTCCCCAGGAGGAGACTCCACAGCCTCTCTGCTCCACCTGCTCAGGGCTGGCACTGCCCAGGGCAGGAGTTCTGCCTCCTGGGCAGGGGCAGCTCCTGGGCTCAGCCCTGCCCGTGGCTCTGGGGCCATGGCTGGGCCTGGAGCAGAGCCTGGGCTGCTCTGAGTCCTGCACACAGGGACAGCCAGGCCTGAGGGCCCCTCTCAGCTGTCCTTAGGCTGAACAGGCTTAACAGCCTTTTCTGAAACAACTTGTAAGTTTCTGGAAGAGAGAATTTGGCCAGAATGAATAACAAAACCAAAACAAAACCCAAGACAGACCAACAAAAAATCTGCACAAATGCCTAGGAATGGAAAACTACCCCCTTGAAACATTTTAGGGTTAAATTCTAACTCTCTTGATGACAAATATTCCCAAGTCTCACCATCAAGTCCTGTCAAGGTTATTAAACGAGTATTTACAATTAACTGTGCAAGCTCCAAAATTGATATAAGCAATTTTAAAAATGAAATTAATTTGCAACTGAAATACATGAAACCAAGCCAGGGACCCAGGTTTGGTGAAGGCTCTAGAGAAGGAATCTTATGAAAACCAGCTGAAGGAGCTGGGAAGGGGCTCAGCCTGGATCAAAGGAGGCTCAAGGGGGACCTTGTAGCTCTGCACAGCTCCTGACAGGAGGGGACAGCCAGGGGGTTGGCTGTGCTCCAGGGAACAGGGACAGGAGGAGAGGGAACGGCCTCAAGCAATGCCAGAGGAGGTTCAGGTTGGATATTGGGAAAAATTTCTTCATTGAAAGGGGCTGCCAGGCTGCCCAGGACAGACTCCCAGTCCCCAGAGGGAAAAACACATGGATGTGGCACTTGGGGACATGGGTTAGTGGTGGCCTTGGCAGTGCTGAGGGAATCTTAGAGGTCTTTTTTAACCTACACCTGTGCTATTCCTAGGACAGCTCTGAGTACTCTAGTCATCTTCATGCACTCCCATTTTTGGAGTTTATAATTTCTATGGCAAAATGAGCAGCTGAAGGAGTATTTTTATAGTGTAAAGTGAATTTCAATAACATAGATAAAGATCTCTTCATTTTAAGAAGTTATCTCAAAATCTAATCTGAATTGGTAGGTAGCATCTTGATAATAAATTTAAACTTAAGATGGTTAAATTGTATCTTTGAAGGCACTGAAAGTGTGTATTTGACACATGATACGTAAGCAGGAAAATAGTGCTCCTTTCTAAGCACTTTCACTTCTGTAGAAGAAAATAGATTACTTGTCCCCAAGCCCTATTCTCCATGCAGCTGAACAGGGCAGGGGGACTTTGCTGTTATTAATATTTGCTGTTACTGAGTTATTAATTACAAACTTGGGCTGTGAGCAGGGCACAGGCCTGAGCAATGGTGAGACCTGAAGAGCAGCTCAACAAGTTCTGTGGGGGAGCTTCTTTACAGGCAATTTTGAAACCATGGTTGGAAGTTAACTTTTCTAAAGACCATTCTCTACCTTAAACTAAAAATAACTCAGGAAAGACTGTATCTTTAAAGATCAGATGAGATGATCAAAGATTTTCTTTTTTTTTTTTTAATATTTTGTACATGTGTAACTCCAAAAAATGATAGAGCAACAAATATATTCAGAAATGGTTTTTGTGATGAAATGCATGAAAATATTTGGAAAATATTTTTGTAATAGAATGAATACAAAAGTTCACAGAGATTCTGTACTTTACTAGAAGTATTTTTCCCTATGTAAAAGTTCAAGCCCAAAGGCAGTTTCAGCAACAAGTTTAAAAACATTCTTAGGTGTATCCTCACCTCTTGACTTGAAGGAATGTGAGTCAGTACACATCATGTTTTTTAAATAAAACATTATCTTACACTTCCTTACACTGTGTGTTTATATATATATAAAATGGCTCAATTTAAAAGGAGTGGAGAGAAATACAAATTAATGTTTTACAGATTATCCACACACAAATGTACATTCAAATTGTAATACTTGCCATTTTCTCTATCCAATTGGAAGGTAACTTTTAACTTCTAAAGTTACAAAGCAATTCGGTTTCTTCCAGGGGGGTTTTTATGGAAACACCCAGTTTAATGCCACAGTATTAGAAAAATGGGCACTAAAATTTGTTTCATAGTCAGGACTAATTGAAGAAACATATGTCTAGTTTTCCATTCTCTTATGAAAACTCTGGAGATGGTTCGTATGCAAACGAAGTTCAGGAGCAGGGCAACTGAGGACTGCATGGAATTTTCTCTGATAAAATCAATGAAGTCTCTGACTCATACAAAAGTAATATTGGATAGATATCTATTTTTTCCAACCCAAATCATTATTCTTTATATTTGCACAATAGAAAATTGAATCTTAATATCAACCATGTTTTAATAAAACTTCCAGGTAGAAGCATTTGTTAAAAATCAAAATTTAATTTAGCTGTAGCACTCCACAAAAGCACTGCTCATTTTCTAAACAAGTTTTGATGTATAGATCTCTTTTCTACATTTAATGCTGCTTTTCATAAACACTGCTGTCCTTTCCCATTCATGCATTGCACCACGCTCATACATCCTTACCATCCTTTGGACCTTCAGTATTTTCACTAGCTGCTTTTTTGAAGAAATATGCACTGGTTTAATTTCGGGAGACATTGAAACTGCTATAACCTATATTTAATGCATTTTCAAGGTGGTTTCTTTTGATTCATCATGAACTTGCTCCTAAAGGACAATCAGGAAGAAGTACCCTGAATAAAAAGGTAACCTCCTTTGAGAGGAAGCGGAGCGGCCAGGAGCGGTTTGGTCTTGTGACTCCGGTGAGTCACACACGGCAGGACCGAGCAGACGGAGCCAGGACTGGAGAGGAGCCGAGCCAGCCGCTCCTTCCCGGTGCATGGAGCAATTCCATGTCCTTATTCTTTGAGGCACCTTTTCCATTTTTTTGGAAAAGCCCGAGAGATCACAAAATGAGGACTGTTTCACCGTTTCAGACCACAGAGCAGCATCTCTAGTACATCCCAGTTTGCAGACACTCGTGCTGTTGGGACAGATCCGGACCCCAAGCTGCTGCCGGGACTACAAACCCATGGTTATCCCTTGCGTGTTATTCACACAAGGAAAATGTTTTTATTTGGAGGGTCCTCTCGAAGACACTGTCATTAGTTTAAAAACCGATGATTTAGAACAACTGTCTTAAGTTATTTCAGAGTGTGCGAGGAAGTGCTGGTGGGAAAAGAGCATACAGGCGCGTGATAACAAAAGTGCTAGAACAAAATTAACTACCTTGAATTTCTCGCGAGGATGCCGAGGGAGCAGCACGCCAGGGCCGCTGCTCTGGCGATGCAAAGAGTTTTATTTTTGTTTTCCGAACCTTCCGCCAACAGCGTCCCCGTCAGGCAATCGCACGGGTGCAGCGTTCCGCTCCGGCCGCGGCTCTGGGACAGCTGCCGCCGCTGCACGGCCTGGGGCGGCCGCGGGACAGCCGGGCGGCTCGCTGGCTTCTCCCGCCGGGACGGGACGGGACCACCACCGCCTCACCGGGACGCGGCAGCACCGAGCCCTGCGGACACCCGGGGCGGGGAGGCTGCTCCCTACGGCACCTGCCCGCCCCCGCTGCCGCCCCGCGGCTCCCCCAGGGGCATCGCCGCCCTCTCCCTGGGCAGCCGCACCCGCCAGGACACTCGGCCGGTCCCGGGCGCGCTCCCGGGCGCGCTCCCGCCCGCCCGCCCGGCCCCGCCCCGGGGCGGGGCGGAGGCGGTGGCTCCTCCCATGGTGCCCCGCGCGCGGCAGAGCCCCGCGCATGCGCGCAGCGCCGCCGGCTCCCAGCTCAGCGCAAGATGGCGGCGGGTGCGTCGGACCCACTGGAGGAGATGCTGCTCTTCTCCGAGGAGGTGGACGAGAAGGCGCTCAGCGACCTGGTGGGATCCCTGGAATCGCAGCTGGCCGGCGGCCGCGGCCCCGCCGAGCCGCCTCCGCCCAGGACCTCCGTCCCGTCCCAGCAGCCGCAGCAGGGGAGCCTGGCGGGGGGCAGCAGCCCCGGCCGGCAGCAGCACGGCCGCCCCGCGCCCCCTCCCGCGCCCGGGGCAGGGGAGGCGGCGGGACGCCCCGGCAGCGCGGGGAGCCGAGCCTCCGCCCAGGGGCCTCTCCCGTCCCCGTCTCCCCCGGCGGCGGCGGCAGCGGCGGCGGGGAGGGGAGCGAGTGTAAACAGTAGTAGTGTGCAGCAATCACATGGAGCGGCTCCCGGCGGCGGCAGCCCCGCCGCTCCCGCCCCGCCGCAGCCCGCCGCCCCTGCCCAGCCTGTCAACAACCATGTGGCCGCCGCAGCCGCCGCCGCTCGGGACGCGGGGAGCCCCGGCCCCGGCCCCAGCCCGACCGCCGCCGACGGCGCGCCCGGGGCCGCGGGGGGCGGCGGAGCGGCGGAAGCGGCCGAGGGCGCCGCCGCCGCCCCGTGCCCCGGCCAGGCGGCGCCCAACGGGGAGGGCGCGGGGGCCCGGGCGGCCGCGGTGCCGCCCGTCGGCGGGCACGGCGGGGCGGCCGCCGCGCAGCCCCAGCCCGCGCCCGGTGCGCTGCCCGCGGTCACCGCGCTCGGCGCCTCCGCCAGCCCCGCGCCCGCACCGCCGGCCCCGGGCTCGGCCCCGCCGGCTCCCGCGGCCCCCGCCGCGCCCAAGCCCGCGGTCACCGCCAAGGCGGGCGCTGCCCTGCCCGCCGCCCCCCAGGCCGTGTCGCCGCGGCCGGCGCTGGGCGCTGCTCCCCGGCTCGTGGCCCCGCAGCTGATCGTGCGGCCGCCGCCGCACGCCACCATCCAGCTGCCGCCCGGCTTCACCATCCCGCCCGGTAAGTGCTGCGCCGCTCCGGCACCGCCGCTCGCTCTAACCTTCTGCTCTCGGCCGAGGGCTTTCCTTTCCCGCAAAGCTGGCGTGTCCCCGCTGCTCGACGTGCTGGAAAGCCAAGAAGAGGCACCTGTCTGAGGGCATCGTCTGACGAGCCGGCTGCCGCTAATTAGGGCGTAACTGGTACGGCTAATGCAGAGTAATTGCAGCTGCTGTTGGGTGAGTTACTGGTTTTGCCCTGTGGAGAGTGGCAGTCACGGTGAGTTACCCTGTGATGGTGTAGTTGGACATCGGATAAAAAGGTGTAGTGGTCGCCAAGAATAACTTTATATGTGTTTTAAAGGACTTTTGCTTTGCACTTGATAGTGCTGAAAAGTTTTTCTGCTTGAAAGAATGGTTTTTGCTGTGAACCAGGTGTTAAATGTGTGTAATCTAACATTTATAATTTCTGTAATTGTGATAATGTCATTGTTGTATGAGGGTAGTCTTCACATCACCAGATTGTATTTCCAACTCTGAAGTAATTATGTCCTCTTTATACTCCTCCTCTAAGTTTCTTAGGTTTAATTACTAAAACTTTAAGTTCAGCAAGGTTGCTAGCTAACCAAACCAGCATCCCTTCATCTTTATGGTTCCTGTATATTGTTTCATCTGAAGGGTACTGAGGTCCCTTACCCAAGTTTTTGCAACATGAAAATACAAGTATTTTCACGTCTTCTTGATTTAGGAGCAGATTTAACATTTAAGCTATTTTTTTTTCCTGTTAATATCGATAGCATGTTAAGATGTGGATCTGTTGATGTGGTCTGAAATAACTGAGTTCTTCCAACTTATTTCTTGAAGTACTTGATATTTATTAGCTAAGTAGAGTAGTAATGTTATGGTGTGGTTGTTTGCTTCTGAGTGGACTTTTAGCAGTTGTGTATTTGGTTCTAGTTTATGAAAAATCCTCCAGAATCTGATGCTCCAAACATACAAATCTTGGTGTTTTTTTGAAGACCCAACTAACTTGAAATAGATAAGTTTCTCTTCAGACTGTGTGCCCTTAGCCTTTGTCTCTCTTTGTTAATCTGGTGAAGATTACTCTATGCAGATGATAGTGTGCATTGTAACTTTGCCCACAGTTTCTGAAGTTCATTGTGTCAATACTTTGATCTGTTATTTTCAAACAGAAAAGGGAAAACTGAGCCTTCAAAACAGTCTGATCCAGGATTTAGGAAATGTTATGGAAATAATACACCAGAAAGTTTTAATTCAAATTTGTTTTATTACAAGATAGTTAGAAATCCATTAAATTTCCATAAACATGAAGGCAGTATGTTCTAAAAGGAAATTATTCAGAAAATACAATGTTATTTTTGAGTTTTTAAGTTGATGGATCATTTATAATTAATCTGAAACTCCCATATAGCAAACTTCTATATAAAACAGAAATTTAGAATCAGTTTTTGAGAACAGATTATTTTAGCAGATGATGCTCATAAGTTGCATATTTCATCTTGATGAAATGTCCTGACTGACAGGAAGGTAAAATTAATGTCATCATTTAACTGGCTTCTAACTTGCAGCAGCTGCTCACTAACAGGACTTTGTAGTCCTCCAAACTAAATTAAAATATAATGTTAACATGTGAGCATTTATTCATTTATAGTAGTAATTGTGTCTGCAACTTTGATTGACATTGTGGCATGGGTTTCGATTAATTTATCATTTCCACTCAGTTTTTCTCTATTCAGAATTAGGTTTAGAAAATGGGAAGATAAATTAAGAACACACCTGTGAATCTGTGTAATGCAAGTAGAACATGTGTTTTTTAATGTGTGGTAGGCATTATCCTATGAGGATTCTTGTATAAGGTTCACAGTCATAATCAGAGAAGTGGTAACCCATTTGGCCAGTTGGCATCTTTGGGTGTCCAGATGGTTTAGGAATGGCATATACCAGACACATCATCTGCTTGCAGGATTTTCTGCAAATGTAAACTGTGAAGCTTGGTGCTTAAATGGCTAATGGACCTTAAAAGTTACCTTTTAGATGAGTTTTTAATGAGTTTCTTTCAACTTTCTATTTAAATTACTCTTGGCTTTGAAAGAGAGATATTATTATGGCTTTTGGATGTGGTCCTTGCTGTAGCTCTGTATGCCTGTTACCTTAAATTTTGATTTCCATGAATCTTTAGTTTATAGTGGCAGAAATTTGCCTTCTGTTTGTGTTTGTTGCAGGAAAGGTTGGCTGGCAGCACCCAGCTCTGTAAGTGAGGACTTTTATGTGTGCTGCAGTTTTCTCATGTGTTCATCCCACAATTAGGACTTTGTTTTTCCATGTCAGACTGAAAGATTCTCTTGCTGTAGGGTTCTCAAATCTGTTGTAATAGTGTTTGCATTTCTCTGTCCTCAGGGTATGTTACAAACTGTGTTGCATTAGGAAGGTGTTGGGTTTTTTGCCCGGGAAGTTAACAGAATTGGATGTAAACTGTTACCTTTAGAATTGGATATAAGATTTTACCTTTGAAAAGTTAAAAAAGTATATGAAGTAATTAGCACATAGAGGTAAGTTGTAGAAACAGTGTCTACTGACCCTGTTATCAGCAGACTAAAGTGAATTTGTAGGTTTTTAGTTCTCTAGTAGTTGCAGAGTAGGTTTTTAGTTTTTGGTTCTCTAGTAGTTGCAGACTAGATGTTTTTCTGTTTATTTGACCTGTTGTATCCTATCTAGGTTAAATTATTAAAATGTATTCTGGAATTAACTTGGAAATTCTTTTTAATAATCTGTCTGGAGAACTGCTTCTTAGTTCTGAGTGAACTATAAGAAGAACATTACATGCTTTGCAGTGACCTTGAGTATGTGAAACTCCAGGATCCATGGACCAACTTAGCCATTATCTCCCTTTTTCTGACCTGCTGACTACAAAAGCTTGGGCACAGCTTGATGACAATGGCTCTGTTGTGTATAAAGCCTCTATTTGTGAGGTATTTTACAATAAAAGATTCTGAAAAAATTATCATTTACTTCCGGAAAGTGTTAGAAAACACTTGCCAATTTTCTAAAATTTCTGCTCTGTGTGATTGTGTGCTGAGGAATCTGTTGGTTCTCTGGGCCTAGCAGTGTTTGTTGTTGGTGTTTAAACCACAGGTAGTGGGTGCCACCCAAAGTGGTGATGGTGGGTACCAAATAGATTAATTTGCTAATGCTCAGTGTTAAGTAAATCTCAAATATTGTATACTCAGAAGTGTCTCTGGCCTAATATTTGCATGTACCCATAAGCTGTTTAGCAAAGCTCTCGGGCCTCTGTCCATGGCATGCACGTACTTGATCGTGCTCCCAGCAGCTGTCTTGTCCTTAGATTTTACCATTAATGAGTATTTATTTCTAATTTTGTTCTCCTGACCCTGACTAGACTGCTGGAAATCACTGTCCCCCTAACACTCCAGTGGCTGCTTTTTTTCATCCCTGCTTTCTATAAACTGCAGCTATTTAAATTCCAAACTGAATTGCGTCTGCTAGTGAGGCTCCCTTTCTTCTTTGAAATAAAATCTCATGTTACATGAGAATCAAAAGGAAGGTACACTACAGGGAATAATGTACAGTGCTATCCATGAGCTCTACTCTGCATTCTGTGGTTAGGTAGTTCTGGCTGTGTTATCCTTGCTGTTGTTTACTGAGCAGTGGCTGTTCTTGCCCTCCCTAGGGATGGTGCTGGTGCGCACGGACGCCGGGCAGCTCGTGATGGTGCCCCAGCAGGCTCTGGCACAGGCTCAGATGCAGGCCCAGGTGCAGACACAGGGACAGGGTCCTGCCAACATGTCACCCAGGCTTTCTGTGCCCACAGCTGGCCCCGTTTTTCGCCTGTCCACAGCTCAGGTATGTCTGGCCTGATTTACATTTGCTGCATTATGTCTTACACATTATTGCCCTTATATGTTTCTGCAACTGTGCTTTCTCCCCTTTTTGTTGGGAAAATAGGAAATACTTATTCAAATGTAGTTTATTTTATGAGGCTTAGGATTTTTTTTCTTATTTAAGGAAAAAATATGCTTTAGAGAATCTCTTAAGACTCTGTTCGGACTGAGACATGTTTGGAAGCTGCAAAGCTCAGTCTTAGTCTGGACTGTGTGCCACTGGTTTAATAAGTGTCCCTTGCAGCTCTGAATCAGAGGCACTGTGATATCCCAGGATAGCTAATTTCACAGGACATTGGAAAAGAGAAAGCCAATCACATTCTATCCAAGGATTTGCAATACATTTAAAATAACTTTTTAAATATACTTTATTCAAAAGAAAGATTTGATTCTTCTAATTTGCTTCTGCGTGTGATGTCTCCACTGAAAGTTTTTCCTGTGTTGTGAGTACATTTCCCTTTTTCTAGGGATTGATAGGATAGAGTGCTTTCCTGTCTTATCAGGATGTGTTGATTTGAACTTGGAGCTAATTCATTTTCTAGGGTGAATATGGGGTGGTCTTTTGTTGTTTGGTTTTGGTGTTTTGTTTTTGTGGGGGGTTTTTTGTTTGTTTGGTTTTTTTTTTTTTTTTTTTTTTTTTTTTGAGGGCTGCATTGGTTTAGAAGTTTGTAGAGAGGCAATTTAGCTTGGGGCCATTTAGGGCTAGACCTGAGGTATTTGACTAAAATGTGGAGGCAAACATCTTTGGATCTTGGTACAGGGCTGCTGTGCCATAGTACTAAGAGGCAGAGTTTAAGGTGGTTTTGCTTAAGGTGTGTGTTTGCAGAAGAGGTAAGCAATTCTCTGTGGAAAGATGAAAAAGGGGCCTTTGCAACTTTTTAGTTGTTGTAGAAGTTGCTTGAAATAAGTTCAGCGTGTATTTCCCAATATTTATCATTTCATTACTTTTCCTTTATATGCTTTATGTATCACACCGTATTTATAGTCTAAAAGATTTTTGAGTTTAATTCAAAACTGAAAACAATAATAAAGATTTCAGATGAGAAATAAGCTGGAATAAATTTGGGGAATTGAAAACAGATATATGAGGCAATCTATAAACCACAGAGTGACCAACTAGAATGTAAGTTTTAGAAATGAGTGTACCTAGGAAGACTGTAGCTCAGTGTCAGAAAAGACATAATGAAAGCCTGGAAACAAAACCTTTGTGCTTTCAAGGAGAGGTAAGTGCAATATTGGATGAAATTTGTTAAAGAACCCTTTGCAGAAAAGGCAGCCATATAATGTTAAAATTTGTGGTATCTTGAAGACTAAGACTTGCAGAAACCTTCAAAGAGAAATGTATTCCAGGAAAAATAAACACAGAGATAAGCCTGTGTTTGTTTACAGATTTTTTTTATTAGTTTGATGACAACAAAATTGCAGCCAATTCCTGAATTTGTACATCTGTCTTTGGTTGTTGGGGCCTTTCTTTGCAAATAAGTGCAGTCACTTCTTTAGGAATTACTACAAGCAGATGTTCTAGCAATGGTTCTGAGACAAGTGCATAGTGTAAATGCAAAACAGGTGTGTGGTGAGACTGTATCAAGAATGGGATCCAAGTCTGTTATTTTTAGCTATTTTTCTTCTGTATTGTTAGTTGTTCTCTGGCCAGTATTAATTAATAGTGAATTAAAATTCAACATGGAAGCATTCATAGCAGATATTAGTAAATTGTTTGTAATTTGAAGATTTCTGAGGAATAACTTTTACTGCACGTGGAAGGAAGTGTGCAGAAATGTAGGCACCCTGCTTGACTCTGGGCTCAGTGTGGGGTTTGGATCCCAAAGTCAGCCTGAAGATGTGTGCACAGCCCATGTAGATTGTGTTGATCTCAGGCAGCTGTTCCCTCCTTGTATGAAGCAGTGAATGTTGCAGAAGGGGTATAATCCTACTTGATGGATTTATACAGAAATAAACCCATGAGGATAGTGCCTGTTCAGGTGTTTGTAGAGTCCACTGGAATCTGGAGTTCAGGTATTAGAAAATTAATTATTTTTGTACAGGGTTCTGCCCAGAGGAATAACCCACTGCACTGTAGGTGTTCCTTTGCACTACCTGGTGCTAATACACTGGCTTGGAATTGAGGAAGCCAGCAAGACCTCAGGAATGATCAATATCTTGGAAGATGCAAAAGTTGGATTATTTTAGTGTAGGGGAATTAGAATAATGATAGTGTAGCTTGTCTGGATTAATCTCCTTTGAAAATCTTAGTAATAACCCAAACTGAGCTGCATAATTTCTGTATTTGTAATTAACAGGGTTAAGAAATAATTAATATGGCCCCTGGGAAATTTATACTGAACTTCCCTGACTCTGCATTTGATCTTCAGAGTCTTCTTTCATTGTGACATGCTTATGTTTTATATATGTTTGACCTTAGAGTGCTCTTTAAAAATTGTGGTCGACACCTCTTAAAACAAGATTGTAAAGATATAAATTCTAAAGGTTTATCTAATCAGAACTAGACATGAGACTTTTATTTAATAAGGGGATGGTTTATAATCAGAAACTGTTAGTTAGTTTTACAGATGAAATGTTCAATGATAAATATTATGCTACGGTTTTAGAAATGTCAGTTATTTGTTTGAGTAGTCATTATAGTTAGTTGATTCGGGGATCGAGTGCTAAAATAAAGGAAATTGTGTGTACTGGAAAATAATTTTTTCAAGGAGTTTTTAATTATGGCCAGAAAGCTGAATTCAGTGAATTAAAATTTCCAGAAGTTTAAAATTAATAAAAAAAAATGTGCTAGGTTTTTATGTATATAGAGTATGAATGTTCATGAGTCAATGATGTCTACTGTGACTGAAAAACAGGAAAATTCTCGTGCCATTAGTTCAAGACAGAAAATAAACATTAGTTGCCTGAATCCTGCAAAGTGTTTTATGAGATGGATGAACGTGCCAGGCTCTGGAGTTTTAACCTTTCTTTCTGATATTGGTATTGGTTGGTATTTTACTATGTAGAGCTCAACTTAATTCCTGTTATCTTTATTCAGTTATCTTAAAATAGCTTTATTTGGATTAAAATGCAGAGTGCTTTAAATTTGTAGAGCTTAGCATTGTATTTTAGGCACTGAGTTTGCATTTTATCCTTCTTTTACCCATGTAGAAAGTCAGCATGGGTGGAAACTTGCAGTCTGCCCTCAGGATTCTAGGAAATAATATCTTATGAAGAATGTATCAGAAAAGCACTTGACCTTCATACTTTATGGGTAGTATGGTTACTGCCATAATCTGCAGATTGTCCTAATTTTTAGCCTGTGTCAGGTGTTACAAGTTACTTAGCTAAGTATTTATTTTCAGTGTTCATTTGTTTATACATTTTAAATAATTAGTATGGTGAGCTGAGCTATACACCTAGATGTAAAATACAGGATATTAAATGCCAAAGAAACTGTAAAAGCTGGCATTTACTTTTGGCAACTCTTTAAAGTGTTGAAAGTGCTAACTGGAGAACATAAAATAGATTTGGAATTACTTTCTTTAACACTAGAAGAAGGAATGTCTGAAAAACTCCTGAGTGTTCATCTAAATTTGAAAGCTTTTTGGTTCTCTCCCCTTGACAACTGGGTAATTTCTCCATTCTCCAAAAAGGAGGGGGAAATGAGGCAATATTTTAAATGTTCTGAAGTAAGATCAGCTTGGTCAATACATACAGAGCTGTTCAGATTCTAAACCCCTTCAGCAGCCTGGGTATTACAGCAAGATTTTTCTTTCCATACCCAGGGCTGTCATTTGCTCACAGGTATTTTGGAGGAAAATAAATCAAGTTTTCCCTGAAAATTCCTCTAGCTTCAGCCGCTGGGCTGGTATCCAAGACAGTATGAGAGGAAGGAGCCACCTTTCTCTGGGAACAATGGAAGCTGTGAGACAAGGAAAGTGTAGTGTGTTTCCCTAAGGAATTTGTGTAAGGACTGAAGTCAAGGCTTTCCTTAAAGACAGTGACTCTATCCTTGCCTGTTCTGTTGTTGAAGGTTCAGAAGTTAAATATCTGCATACAGTAGTACTTACCCTAGTAGGGAATTATAGAGCTACCCCTCTTCCCTTCCCAAGTTTAAAAAAAGGTGTGTTTGGATTGCAGTGCCAAAGACAAGAGTTCAGAAAGACTAAGATCCATAACTTCTGTTGATCCCACATTGCTGTGTCCTGTGGGTGTGCAGTGGATTCCAGTCCTTCCATGATGAACGCTTCAGCTGGGCACTCAAGGCACATGATTGAGTTGCACAGGATCTTAAATCTGATATTTCTTATTCTTTGATTGCTTGGGTTTGCTATTTAAGTTGTTTGACTTCTGTTCATATTGTGTTTGTCTTGTTTTTTGCAGCTTTCAGGAGTGGAGGCAGATGTACAGCTTTGAGTACACTTTTGTGTTAGATTCTTGGGAGCAGAGAGGCAAATCCATTTTGAAAGGAAAACTTGGGTTCTTCTTGACTCTTAGGTGGGGTAATCTTCGATTAGACATTTAATTATGCTCCTCCTAATTGCTGCTGTGTAAAGCATGAAAAAAAATCTGATTGTTTCCATTCTTAGTGGGATTCTGGGAAACTGGCAAATGGGGATAAGCACATGCTGTGTAGGGAGGGTCTCAGCTGGTCAGTTTGAGGCTGAGCTCGAAGGTGCAGTAACAACAGTGCAGACAGCAGTGACTGAGATGTATTTGATATTTTAATGATCTTTTCCATTTACAGTGTTCCTGGTATCTTTAAAATATTCAAGAAAAACATGAGTGCATTTGTGCAATTGTACCAAATAACAGTTTTAATTTAGTTCAAATTATAAGATTGCATAGGATTATAATGGGAATGTTAATGGTTGGACTCACTGACCTTTGAGACCTTTTCCAACCTAAATGAATCTAAAATTCTGTGATATTAACTACTCTTAGTTGCTGTTTTTCTCCAGTGTTTTGTTTCGTTTA